GGACGACGTCACAACAGCTGCAGCAAACTTCACTGTATGGAGACTGGCTGCCTCGGGTAGACTGACTTCACCTTCAACACAGTGGTCCCAGGTCGGCTCTGTAAGCAGACACGTCATCAATAATGGACACTAATACACCACACTCACAGGCTCAGATACAAACGCCCGACATATCCACTCCATAGATGGCGCTGTCGTCGGAGCACCACCTCACCAGAGGTCAGGAGCGGCGGTGTTGAGCGCTGAACCAGACTGGAAACTGGTCCTCGAGGCCAGTACACGCTGTCCTCACTAGGTGTCGTCGTTCGTTTGGCGGGGGTTTCGGGAGCTGACCCACAGATGGCGTGTTTGTCACTGCTCCAGGCACGGACGCTGGATCCGGGTTCGTAACACCTCCCCACCAAAAAGAATTTGGTTTGGGGTTCTATAAAAAACACAAACCAAATTAGCAGGGCGACACAACTCCAAATGGACTTACTTATACTATGAACTGGAGTGACGAGGCTGTCTTGTCCACAGAACTTTTCTACTAGCCATTTCCGGCACAACGGGAACTTGCAGATAGAAGGCAATGATCTGCCTGACGTAATCTTCCACGTCTCCACTGCGATGTCAAGCAGGGGCTTTATCTCACCTCTCTCGAGTACGGATTGGTTTCGACACGATCTGGGGTGACTCGACACTTCCCTATGTCGTGGCACCGATGATGGCTGACCACAGACGGCATTTCTGGTGCCAGTCCGATGGTCCTTCAGGGAGACAGGAACCTGGAATACAGGGGTCTGATAATTCAGAGTGATCGCGACAGTGGATAAGTCAATACTTACAGCATACCCTACTAGGTTCACACCTAGGCCCAACAGGGCTGCTTGTACGTCGCAGATGGCATTCATTCTGCCACCGTCAGGTCGACCAACGTTCCGCATAACGCTGTGTTGAGGCTCAGCTGTCACGCGGGGGGTGTCAACCTGTCGGAAACAGTCACTCATATTATCACATGTACCTCCTGTATCATCTATTACCTCCCAGGTCCCTTCTTCAACTGCAACACCTGCAGTACAAATCTCCAATCCCTGGGACCTCTTCACGATGTTCACGGGAGCCACCATCCTTCGGGTCGTACACTGATCCTTACCGAGAACACAGAGAGCACATAGGAGAACAAAACAAAATACCGGTAGGAAACATTTGGCAATTCGAGGGATAAGTTTCCTGAGCTTGTCATGTCCATAGCCGGCATGGACAGAAGAGGGCACTAGACCTTTTGAACACACCTCACATACCTCTGACGTCTGGGGAATCTCTGGCTGGTCCACTACATGCTGTAACTTGCCATACCGCAAGCACACCTCAGCCTTCGCTCCAGACTCGTTGGTATCCATGGGTGTCTGCACACAAGGCCTCTTTTCTAGCTCAGGTACTTCTGCCATCGTAACCTCATGTTCCTCGTCGAGAGAATCAGGAGACACTGCTAAATAACTGTCGATCTGCGGGGGAGAGGACAAATTAGACATGTTCAAATCCGGGTCTGTCTTTACCTGGACATTACCATTGCCTGTTGTCACCTCCGACCTTGCTGTTCTGGTAGACTCGTCCGCAACCTTGGGACGATTGGTGCTCCAATCGGTCACCAAGTCGTTGGCCAGTACCACGTCAATCCCAGCCACAGGGAGGGTATCGACTACTGCCAACTCACATGTGCCGCTGAAATAAGGCGAATCAAGATGTACTGGCACTAAGGGGGCGATGTACTGCGTCCTAGGAAACCCAACCAGGATCACCTCTGGTCTCCCATCCACACTTACTCCCTCGGGTAACGAGCTCTTCACGATCAGGGACTGGGCTGCTCCACTATCTCTGAGCACTACAATTGATCTACCAGTATGATCACTCGTTACATACCCGGTTGAAGTGTGAGGGGCCAACAAACTTGGTCCTTCCTGCGTCGTCGTAGACTGGTTTCCTACTGGTGATGTAACACAGCTCACCAACATCACCTCCCTTCGTGCGCTGCCACCTCTTCTACCTTGGCACCTAGCAGCTATGTGCCCTTTCTGCCCACAAGTCCAGCACACCATATTCCTCCTTGGACTACGGTGTTTCGGACTACTAGGACTTGTTCTTCGGGGGCTACTTGGGGGCGTCTTCTTAGCGCTTCGTGGGACGGGTCTTTCTTCTTCTTCGTCGTGAGGTCTGTCAAACCGGCGCTGGTAATTCCTCGGGACGTACTTAGCAGACGGCCTATGAGTCAGGATATACTTTTCAGCCATGGTGGCTGCTGCACTCAAGGTCTCCACCTGCTGCTCTTCTAAGTATGTCTTGAGGTCTCCAGACAAACAATCCTTGAAGTCCTCGAGCAGAATCAGCTGTTCGAGGTCTTCCCTGGTCTCCACCTTCCGAGAGGCACACCATTCTTGAAAAAGTCGCTCCTTGATGGTGGCGAATTCGGTGAAAGTGTGCTCTGAGGTCTTCTTCAGGTTTCTGAACTTTTGCCTATATGCCTCAGGTACCAATTGGTACGCCATGAGCACCACTTTCTTCACCATATCGTAATCGCTGGAGTCGTCAAGGGATAACGTAGAGTAGGCGATTTGGGCCTTCCCAGTCAAGACTGACTGTATCATGATGGCCCAATTCTCCCTTGGCCACTCCAAAGAGGCAGCGACTTTCTCGAAGGCTGCAAAGAATTTTGACACTTCCTTCTCATGGAATTTGGGGACCATTTTGATGTTGCGTACCGGATCGAAGCCACTGGTGTCCGTTGTTTGCCTCCGACCACCGCCTAATCGCAATACTTCTAGTTCATGTTGTCTCTCTCTTTCCTCCCTTTCTCGTTCTCGTTCTTCTCTCTCTCGTTCTCGTTCTTCTCTCTCTCGTCTCTCTTCTCTTTCTCGTTCTTCTCTCTCTCGTTTCTCTTCTCTTTCTCGTTCTTCTCTCTCTCGTTTCTCTTCTCTTTCTCGTTCTTCTCTCTCTCGTTCTCGTTCTTCTCTCTCTCGTCTCTCTTCTCTTTCTCGTTCTTCTTTTTCTCTTTCTCGTTTATCTTCTCTTTCTCGTTCTTCTTTCCTTTCTTCCAATTCTAAACGCCTCATCGCCATTTCCTTATCTTTCATCTCCATCTCTTTATCTTTTAATTCTCGTTCTAATTCTAACTTCTTCCACTCTATTTCACGATTGATCTCTAGGGCACGCATCTTGACTGTTAGGAAGCTGATATTAAGCTCGCCTGCATCACTGTCAACGTCGCTGCCCTTATCTTCTTTTTCCGTGGAAGCTATGTCTGCACTTTCCTTTGTACTAGGAGTCTCGCCTTCCTGTTTCTCTTCTGCCTTCAGGTGCCGGTGTACCTTGGACAAGATCTCCACACGGGAGTCACTGGCACGGATCTTGATCTCCAGGTAGGCGCTCACTAGTACAAGTTCCGGTTTACTCAGATATTTTAATCTGGCAAGACAATCTTCTCTGTTCAGAAAAGCCTGAACCTCGTCCAGATCATCGATGGTAGCTTTGTCTGCCATTGTCACAGATGGAACACTTTGCACTTAACACACTGAGCACTGTTCTACGCCAATATTGCACCAAACACTGCACTTGCCAATATTGCACGTAATCACTCCGGGCACCGCACTACCCAATATTGCACTGAGTCCAAGCGAACACTTCGCTCTACAATATTGCACTGAATCACTGAGCACCGCACTAGTCAATATTGCACTTAATCGCTTAATCACAGCGAGCACCGCACTGCACAATATCGCACTTAGTCACTCTGAGCACCGCACAGGACGTATAACGTCACAATCGTCACACAGGGGGAATTATATACAGGGATTACGCCACTTCACCACCCCTGTCAAACATACTTAACAAGGGGACGGATCCCGCTGGGGATGCCAATTATGTTACGGCCCTCTCGGGACGCAACGGGGTTCTTGCTCTGATGTAGTTAGAGGAAGATATATATCCGGCCCCAAACCAGTAGAGGCTATCAAGGGATGCGATCCGTGACGCAAGTAACTTAAAGGGAGTAGGGAAAGAAAGGTAAGAACTTAATATAATATAATATTCACCATCACCGTTTCAATATATATAATAAAAGAGTACACAAAGGGGGGGGGGGGTATTAACACTTTGCAAAGGGGATCGTGCACAATCTAGTCTTCTGCTGAAGACTCTTGATCAAGAAACTAGGTGCCGAGTCCGCGGTGCTTTCTTCGTGGCCTCAAGACGTGTCCTCTGAGAACGCCGAGCCTACCCTGGCCACAGGTCAGCCACAACACAGGTCCACTGGGGGCACCGTCGTGGAGGCCGTCAACCACACGTCCAGCAGGTCTGCTGGCAGGTACTGAGCCACCAAGGCTGGTACGGCCACTCCACGAACGATAAAAGGGGTACGCCCTAGACAGGAGTCTCGTGTGATATCACCAATCACCCTCCTGTCCTCAATACCCCAGTGGATTATCGTCTCCAACCGTCGGTCCCGGGTAAATCCTTCCACTGCCACTCCACTGGCAGGCTTAACACACCACAGTGTTCTTCCGGGGGGGGACGACGTCACAACAGCTGCAGCAAACTTCACTGTATGGTTGACCAAATTGTATTTTTGTTGTTTTGCTGCCATGTTCCCCCTTTTTTATTTATATATTGTCTCAACACATTTTATACTTTAATCTCAATTAGTATTAAGTTTTAGTCTTTAGTGTTTTTCCTGCCCGAAATGCTTTGCGTAATAGTGGCTTTAGGCATTGTATGTACTAGCTCTATCGATAAATTCAGCAATATTTGTACCACCCCTTGTATGTATGTACTTTACCTGAATAAACATTTGAATTTGAATTTTGAATTTGATTTTTTTAAAGTATTTTGTCTATACAGTACCTGGTTTTTCAAGGAATGCATCCCTTGCAGTTTATGTGGGTTTACAATATATAGTGAACATGTAATATTGAATACCAATACTGTAAAGCTTCATTACTTTAAACTTCCTTTTTTATTTACTACAGCTATTCCAAGTTGCCTATGTACTGATAAAGATGGGGAACTCTCCCCGTCCTGGTGTCTGGGTCTTGGAACGATCGGTGGACAATGGAGAAACTTATACACCTTGGCAATATTTTGCTGACAGTCAAGGGTATGCTATGTAACTTTGTGTTATGAAATACAGCTGTATGTTAAGATATTTGCTGTATTGTGGAGTATTTTACTAACTTTGTGTAACAAAATCACATCATTTAATTATAGGACCTTTGAGCTTTCTCATCAATGTTTGTTTAAAAACTTCAGTGAATTTTCTTAATATTTTTGTTTCCACATTCAGACCCAACAGTGTTTGCTTCTACTGCCTGTGCTATTTTCTGTCTGTACCACTTCTGTCTTCCTCAGTTCTATCACTTTGAAAATAAAAGTGTTGTATGAAATGAAAACACCCAGTTGGTTCCCCTGAAGCTGTACACTGAAATGGTTCCCCTCTACCAGGCTGCATCAGCCATGGAGTTCTTAAGGTTTATCTGTAACCAGCACCAGAATATCTGACCTCCCTCACAGAGGTGCAGGGAGATCAGGTTCTCACTGACCTCCCTCACGGGGAAGTGGAAGTGTCTCATGTGGTGAAACACTTCCACCCTCCAGCTCAGACCCCAGCACATGGTGAGACACTTCCATCCTCCAGCTCAGACCCCAGCACATAGTGAGATACTTCCACCCTCCAGCTCGGACCCCAGCACATAGTGAGACACTTCCATCCTCCAGCTCAGACCCCAGCACATAGTGAGACACTTCCACCCTCCAGCTCAGACCCCAGTAGGTGGTGAGACACTTCCACTATCCCACTCATACAAGTTGGGTAGGTGGGGACAAACAATCTTGCATTAGTTTTGAGAGAATTTTATCTGTTTACATAGTTGGGGGAATTCATTCGGTGGATTTTGAGGCTTTGGACTTTTCTTAACCCGGCAGTGGTTTGTTTCAACACATTGCCTTTCTGGTAGCCTTTCCCAGTGAGGTGACAAAATGCCACCAGCTCCTCTGTAAGGGGGCCAGGTTCTGGCAGTTGTCCCTACTGGGTCAAAAGAACTCCATGTCTGATGCAACCTGGTAGATGGGAACCATCTCAGTGTATAGTTTCTGAGAGCCACAAGGGGCTTCTCTAGATTTTTTTTTTTTTACATAATTCTTCCTTCATTTTGAACCTTCAACTCTACAAGATGTTTTTTCAACATCAGTGTTGTTTAGAAAGATCTCTTCTTTTCATTACCATTTTGCTGGCTTTGCTTTGTTTTATAGCCTTATTTTTCTGAAGCACATCAGTTTTCTTCAAACTGATAAAACCAGCTTTAAATGTAATGAAACGTCATTTTTCTGGGTGCGACCCCGGAGGCTTCCTGGAGCAACAGTCAATCGATGGAGTTCTAGGCCTACTGGGAACCACCGCCAGAACCTGATGCCAAGGCAAGCACACTGGACACAGGCCTGGAACCTAGTTCCTGCACATCTTCCTCGAGCCAATCCAAAGACAGCTCCAGCAGGGAAAAGAAGCATAAAACCGAAGCCAAATGCCCACAGGCGCACAAATCCTTGGCCACCAGGGATGCCAAAAGGGAGAGAATCTGCACGTGAAGCTGCACCTGGCCAATATCACAAGGAAGCACAGGGGCGAACAAGCACGCATTGAGGTGCTCAAAGTGGCCCCCCCCTCCCCCAGGAAAACCGAATGACCCCTAGTCAACTCCTGCCACTCAAGCGTACAGGTCCGACAGAATGCATGCCATGCCCCCCAACAAAAAGAAACGGCAGTCCGCCAGCCAGGAAAACTCTGGCACCTCATAACGCACTTAGTAAGGAAAAGAGGAACCAAACTCAAAAGAAGAAGGATCCATTATAGAGGCGTAATCTGGGTCTCACAGGAGGTAAGCCACAAGAATCACCTCCCTTGGTGGGATGCGGGACACTGAAAACCTCTGGAAGGAAGGAACCGAGTAACCCAAGGGAACCTGGAACCAAACCCGGCGAGGAGTAGAACTCATATCAAACTCATATAGGGAGGCAGATCCGGAAGGGGCAGTCCCCTAATCCACTCGAGTCTCACCACCAAGAAAACCCTGCCTCGACTCTGAAACCCTCAGATATTTGAGAGCTGGGAGCACGGGGGTGGGGGTGGGGCGGGGGGAGAAGCAGGATGATCCACAGCAGGGAAAGGACAAGGGGGCGCGGATGAAACCAAAGTCTAGGCGACTAACACCCCCAAGTCCGGGTACCTATAACCAAAGCGGGACATCCGGAAAGGCAACCAACCTAGCGAATTGCAGCAATCTAAACTGCGCATGCAATGCTGAAGTTGCCTGCACCAGAATATCAATATCGGTGGACTGTGTGAACTACAAGCAAAGAACACCACTCGCAGGACTCCGGGTCAAAAGTGTCATTGACCCAACAGGCAGCATGGAGGAGGCAAAGACAGTGTCACCCTGAGACAAGGGGACAGAGCAACCTTCAAACTTGCACGAAGCAAGGTGGAACTTAGAGGTCTCCTCCATCAGACCAAAGCCCCAGTGGGGGTTTTCAGGGCCCTTAGGCTGACTGCTAAGGGAAGCCCAGGCAAGGTACTGCCAACTGGTTATCCCAGAGCTACCAAGCAAACAAACTGAAAGCTAAACCCCTGTGACAGCTGAACTGTCTACCAATCACAAGAACCTAGTGGAAGGCCAACAAAATCATACAAGCGGTCCTTCAGCCACACCAGGCAGACCCCCTCCAGGCAACACAAAACAAAACAAAACAAAAACCCCCGCAAAAGCACAATGTTTTTAGGGGAACAGAACCGTTCGCTATGCGTATATCAGACAGCTGCACAGTACCTTGCGCCCCAGCCAGCGGCGATACTACCTCCTACCCAAGGTCAAACAGGAGTAAGAACAACCCTAGCTGAACCCAAAGGGCGGGCAATCACCAAGTAGCAAAAGAACCACACGGAGATAGTCTCCTGAGTGGCTTATAGAAGATAACCCTAAATGGCAAGAGCAGTACTTACAGTGCACCTAGGGAAGGCGACTCTAGGCTCTTGCTAGACCCAGTACTCGTGTTACTCCTGGCTCGCACACCACCCTACAGAAGAATATCACCGCTATGGACAGCACTGCTCAAAATGATGGAGCCAGAGTAGATCGACCGCCCCCAATCGCAACAATCTTTGAACTGGGGTTGAGTAGTTGGCGCGGGACGTTTGGGATCCCCCCTTTTCCCTCCCGGGAAGGGAGAGTTGCACAGACAGCAGCGTGGTGGCTGTGGTGACGTCATGCTTGTTTTCAATTGAGGAGTTCTGCTTGCTAGTTCGGCTTTTGGTTTGCAACTTTTTAACCAGCTATAGTTTGCTTTGGAATTCCTATCTTTCTGGGTGCCTGACTTGGTAGATGGCAGATATAGACTGCTTCTGCCAGACTGCTTCCAATTACATGGTGTCGTCTATAGGCCATTGCTCCTCGTGCCTCTCTGAGGGGGCCAGGTTCTGGCGCTGGTACCCGGTAGGGCTAAAACTCCATCGATTGACTGTTGCCATGGTATAACTCTGGGAAGACGAAGGGGCTTTCCACAGAAAATAGTTTTTGAAGGTTAACATTTTTCTGAAATTAGTTACATATTAATGTAGTTTAGCTCCTTCCATGCTTCATAATTTGGGTGTCATCTTTTCATCATGCCTGGCTTTTTCAATCCTCAATATTATGTTTTCTGAGGGAAGCCCCCTTCAGTTTCCTGGAGCTATCCAGGATGATATGTATATCATTAGACTTTGGCATCAATCAGTGTGAACAGAGTTCTAGGCCTACGGCCACGAGCCAAAACATGGTCCCCCTCAGAGAGGCACGAGGAGCAATGGCCTATAGAAATGCACATGGGATTTGGAGCATTCTATATCTGCCATCAACCGGGACAGGCACCTAATTAGGTAAGCACCCCAAAACAATCCCCTATTCTGGTTAAAAACAACTAAAATAATCAAACTCCCCCAAATAGAAAACTCCCAAATGAAAAGAGCAAACAAGCATGACGTCACACGCGCTGCGCCGCATGTCTGCGCAGCTCCCCCCTTGTTGGGGAGGGGGGGGAAGTGGGAGCCCCAGACCCCACCATGCAGGTGATCCACTCTGCAGTTCTTCGGCTGATGTGATTGTGGCATAGTAGTGTGACTCCAGCTCCAGACTCTCTCTGTGTTGTGCTGTACCTTGGGTCCAGTACTGCTCTTATGGTGGCGTGCGAGCTGGAAGTAATATTCACAGGTACTCAGGCTGCATGTTCTTAGGATTCCCTTCCCTGAGTGCCCTGTAAGTACCACCCTTACAGCTTGGGGTTCTCTTCCACAAGTCACCTTGAGGTCTACCTCTGTTGGTCTTTTGCTACTTGATGATTGACCACCCTGAGTGTGTTGGGGGGGTTTCCTCCCTTGTTTGCCTAGGGGTAATGGAATAGTTTTTTGCACTAGTAGGGACATGGGGTACTGCAAACCTAATTTTCACCTATAACAGTGGCCAGCTCTGTTCCTCCTGCATTGTCCTCTTACGAGGTTTTTCTTTTTCGTTTTTGCTTGGTGGTGGGGGGGGGGGGGAGGGTCTGCCTGTGTGTCTCTTCCCCCCCAGTTATATTAAGGTTGACCTTCTGTTTTCGGTGGTACCCCTTGCTTCACCCTCGTGAGTGGGACACATCCCGGGGGTTAAGCTTTAGCAGCTTGTTTGGTAACATTGGGCATCGGTTAGCAGTACCCTGCCTGGGCTTGCCCTTAGCGATAATAGTCTAGGGGCCCTGGTAAACCCCAAGGGCAGACGGGATACAATGGATGCGACCCCCTGGGTCCCATCTCGCTTTGTGCGAGTTTGAGGGTTGCTCTGTCCCCTTGTCTCAGGGTGACGCTCATAGTTTTGCCTCCGCGTCATGCTGCCAATTGGGTCGGTGACACCTTCAACCCGGAGTTCTGTGAGCATTGTTGCTTTTTTGTGACTCAATTCACCCACTATACTGATGACATTATTCGGGTGCAGGCGGCTCGGGTGATGCAGACTAGGCTTAGGTTGCTGCAACGTGCTAGGGTGGTTGCTTCCACGGATGCCCCGAGGCTGCCCCGCTTTGCTTCTAGGGGATCCGAACTTGGAGGAATTAGTCACATTGGCCTTGGTTCAGTCTGCACCCCCTTTGTTCTTCCCCTGCTGCGGTTCATTCTGTCTCCCTCCCCCCCACCTGCTTCCGGCTCCTAAGCTTCTGAGGGCTTCGGGGTCGGGGCAGGGCTTAGAGGTTTCTGAGACTCGGGCGGTTTCAGGGGTTGCCCTTTCTGGGGTGGCAACAGAGGCATTCGAGTCGGTTCCTCCAGCAGTAACACTGGGGTCTGACCAGTGGGCCCCCTCTTCCTGCTTTTCCGGCTATCCTGGCTTTTTCTTGTGAGGCCGGGGTTTTGGAGGATGACTCGCCCCTGGGGCCTGACATGGAGGTCCCTGGGGATCGGGGAGGAGGTGACTTTGGGGCTTGGGCCCCATTGAACCCCACCTGGGTTTTCTGACCCTCAAAGCGGAGCTAACTGTTACAAAGAGTGGAGTTTTCCTCCCCCCCCCCTCTGCGCACGAGTTGGATTTGGGTTCAGCTCCTCCCCGGGTTTGGTTCCGTATCCCTGCGGGTCCTTTGGTGCCGTCTTTCTGGAGGTTTTTTAGATTCCTGCGTCTCGCCTACTGAGGTGCAGGCGGCCATTGCGGCTTACCTCCTGCACAACCCGGAATAAACCTCTACAATGGATCCGTCTTTCTTCAGGGTTAAATCTTCGTCTCCATACATATTCATTATGAGGTTCCAGAGTTGTCCTTGCTTGCAGACTGCCCGTTGTTGTCGTTGGATGCTTGAGGTGCTTTCTGTTGTACCCGCAGGCAGGGCTTGTGGGTGGAGCGAGGCTTGCTGGCTTTGGTCTTGTGTTTCTTTTCCCTTCTGGAGCTGTCTTTGGATGGGTATGCGGAGGATGTAGAGGTGCTTGGGGCCGTTCCTGGGTTTGGTGCCTTAGTCTCGGCTGTTTGTGAGTCGTCTGCACTTTTGAAGCTGTTTGTGCTGATCCTGTGGGATGTGAAGTCGCAGTATTTTGCTGCGCGTCTCTCGTGTCAACAGGTTGTGCTCGGAATCTGCTTGAGCCCTGGCTCTGGCTCTTAGATTGTCTTCGCTCTTTTGTCCCTTGCTGTTTGCGGACTCTGCAGTCGAGCAGTATATGTAGGCAGCTTCTTCCAGCTGTCGTCCGATGACCGACTTGTTGGTTCTCTGGGGGTCCTGGGTGGGTTCTTTCTGGAGGGGTCATGCCAGGGCTCGGGGTTCTGCTTGTTGGGGTAGGCCACAGGTGCCAGTTTCGGAGCCGGCGCTGCCTTCGACACCGTCTGTGTCTGGTCGGCATGGTGTTCGCTCTGTGCGCAGGTCGGGTTCTTGCAATGGGCATCGGCCCTTTCACGGTTCGCCCCATTGACAGGGTGATGAGAGAGAGGCTTGCTTTATTTGCCCACACCAGGTCTCACAATTTGCGGGCTTTTCGGGTTGTTTCTAGAGGCCTGCGGTGGCATCAGGGGCAACCCCGAACCTCCTTCAAGGGGTTCGGGGCTGGCAGGGCAGGCCTTTTTTCCGGTGCTCTGTCAGGTCATCTCGGAGTGGGTGCACTGGTGTGGTCGAAATGACGATATCTCTCAGGTGACTATCGTGCCTGTTTCCAGTTCCAAAACAAGACTGTGCGGACCTGTGATTCATTCTGGACCTGTACCATCTGAATCCCTGAGTTTCTTGCCCCCCTCCTTTTGGATGACCATTCTATCCCTGGTCCGGATTCTTGGATGGTGTCCCTGGACCTCAAGGACGCTTACTGGCATGTCCTGATTATCCGGGGTTCAGGGACTGGCTCGGTTTTGTTGTGGGGAAGCAGAGTTACCTTTTTCATTGTCTCTCTTTCAGGTTGAACCTGGCTCCTCGCATGTTCACACACCTTACCAGGGTTGTGGTGGCCCGTCTGCACTTTTAGGTGTTCAGGTGTTGGCTTACCTCGATGACTGGCTGGTGTAGGCTCTCAGTCGGTCCGTGTGTCTGCTTGCCAGGGGTTTGGTGCTTTCCCAGCTAGCTGGGTTCAGGTTCCCTGGTGAACTGGCGGAAGTCCCATCGGGTCCCCTCCCTGGTTCGGACCTGGCTGGGTATTGTTTGGGACTCTGGGTTGTGACTCATCTGCAAGCAAGGGGGGTTCAGTGCGGTCCTTGGCTCTTTGGGAGCTGATCGCTTCAGGTGACTCGTCTGCTGAGTTCTCAGGATTTGGCTTTCCTGGCGGTTCACGTCCAGGGGAGGGTCTCCTACGTCCTGGCAGAAGGCCTGTCCCAGTTCATTCCTCTGTCCACGGAATGGACGGTTCATGCCGACTCATTCAGTTGGCTCTGCCAGATGTTCTGGCGCCCGGAGGTGGACCTCTTCACGTTGGCGTGGTTGAGGCGTCTTTCAGCATATGTAGCGCCCTTCCTGACTACAAGGCCATCGGGACTGATGCCTTCCAGCAGGACAAGTCAAGGTTGGGATTCCTGTACCTCCTTCCTCCGGTTCAGCTGTTGTTCCAGGTCCTAGCTCGCTTGGAGACTTGCCAAGGGAGAGTAGTCCTCTTGGCCCCATGGTGGCTGGCCCAGCCTAGGTTTCAGGCGCTGCTTGCTCAGTGTTCAAACCCGGAGGTTTTTCTGCTGCTCCCCCTCTTTCAACAGATCATTCCGGTCCGTTACGAGATTGGTTTGCTCTTCCCCTCAAATCTTCACGTTTGGTCTTTTTGATTCCAGTCTATCAACATCTGTATGCTGATAAGGTGGCCTCTTTAATGGTGTCCAACTTACGGGCTTCGTCTTGGCGGCAGTATGAAGTTTCCTGGTGGTCCTTTTTTTTCTTTGTCTCTTCATTGCTGTACTTTGCTTTCTGTTAAGGTGGTTTTGTCCTTTCTCTTGTGGCCGTTTCAGGACCATCATCTTTTGCCGAATAGTGTCGCTTCGTATTGAGTGGCATTGGCGGAGCCACTGCAGCTTGCTTCAGTATTGATGTTACTTTGGCACCATTTCGCAAGCTGTCTCTAACGTTGTTTCACCTCCAGACTGCTTGTGCACAGCCTGAGCCCTCCTGGTCTTTGTACAGAGTGCTCTTGTGTCTGTCTTTGCCTCGGTTTGTTGTGGGCCCTTCGGTTCAGGATTGTTTTTCCAAAGCTCTTTTCTTGTTGGCATTGGCCTCTGGGAATCGGGTTGGGGAGCTTCATGCTCTCCTCCGGCGCAGGGGTTTCTGCTCTTTTATTCGTGGTGATAGGTTTGTTCATTTTCAGCCATCTCCTTTTCTGGCGAAGAATGAGACTGCTGCTTTTCAGAGGGGTCATTGGGTTGTTGATGCTTGGTTGGTCAGGCTGGGGGGGCATCATGTGTTGTGTCCGGTTGCAGCTCTCTGCCGTTAATTGCTCGCTACGGCCTCTGTGGCCGGGGACGCGCTTTGGGTTGATCCGGTTTCCCTTCTTCCCTGTTCTCGGGTTCCGGTCTCTCAGGTCGTCTGCAGGGTTATTTGGTCTAGCCAGCCTGCAGTCTATCCCTGTGCCCATGACGTTTGTAAGTTTGCTGTGCTTGGTGCCGTCTTCGGTAACATGTCCTGAACTGATATTCCGGCACGGTTTTTGGCGATTGGTCCTGGCTGCACGCTACCTTGTGAATGTTCCTGGGCCTAGTCAGGCCTGTGTCGCTTTGGGTTGGCGGTTGCAGCCTGTTGTCTCGACTTCAAGTTGAGATGCGAGCACCGACCGCCTCCCGGGTAAGTCAGTCTAGTTTTCGTCTTTGGTGAAGTAGCTTGGGGGAGTCAAAGGGGGCTTCCCCAAAAAACCCAGCATTGAATGTAGTGAAATGCCATTTTTTGGGTGATACCCGGAGGCTCCCCGAAAACCCTCCCTCCCTCTGGTCAGCGTTTTTTTCATGTGTTTTTGACATCCAGCCTCAGAACTGCAGGGTTGATTGCCGGCATGGTTGGTCTGGGCCTCCTTCTTCCCCCTCCTCGAGGAGGGGAAAGCTGCACAGACAATCGGCGAGGCTTGTGTGATGTCATGCTCGTCTGCTCATTTTCATTTGTGGAGTTCTGTCCACTCATTTGTCTATTTTAGTCGTTTTAACCAGAATAGGGGTTTGTTTTGGGGTGCTTACCTTTCTGGGTGGCTGTCCTGGTCGATGACAGATATAGAATGCTCCAAATCTCATGTGCATTTCTATAGGCTATTGCTCCTCGTGCCTCTCCAAGGGGGCCAGATTCTGGCTCATGGTCCCCGGTAGTCCTAGAACTCCAATCACACTGATGCCAAAGTCCAACGATATACATATCAGCCTGGATAGCTTTGGGGAGCCTTCGAGTCTCACCCAGAAAATGGCGTTTCATTATATTCAATGCTGGTTTTGCAATGAAGTCTTATGGCAAAGAGAAAAGAGTACGTTTGATAATAATGCACAGTAAAAATTTGGATTTTTTTAATTTATAGTGTTTTGTCTTGATTTTTGCAAAGTATTAACAAAAAGTTCCAGAATTTAAAAATAATTCCTAATTGTTTGACATTCTTAACTCCGGTGGAAACAAAATATTTGTATGATAAAAATATCAATGAGTCAATGAATTTTTTGTAAAATTATTTACATTCAGTATTTGTAATATATTACAGTATACTAATTAATGGAGATAATTACTCATACTTCCAGGGATTGTGAAAGTTTCTTTGGAAAGGAGAGCTTGAAGCCAATCAGCAACGATGATGATGTGACTTGTGTGACACATTTTTCAAAGGTGGTACCCTTGGAAGGTGGCGAGGTAAGGTGTTGCTATTTGTATGAAGTAAATCTTCTTATGTTTTCATATTCTAATTATATTTAATCTGTATTATGGTTACATTGTTATACTGTATAATATGCTTTATTTCAGATTGTGGTATCTCTTCTAAATAATAGACCATCAGCAAACAGTTTCTTCAACTCAACAGCACTACAAGAGTTCACAAGGGCCACAAATGTTCGACTTCGGTTATTGCGCACCAAAACTCTACTTGGTCACCTCATGTCTGTAGCAAGACAAGATCCAACAGTCACAAGAAGGGTATGAAAATAACTTTTTATTTACATCAGAATTTGCATATAACTTTTAACGTGCAGTTGTGTGTTTTGATGAAAAGTTATATGGATGAATTAGAGCTTCATAAAATTTATTGTGTTTCTTTTCAGTATTTTTACTCCATCAAAGACATCAGTATTGGTGGAAGGTGTGTGTGCAATGGTCATGCAGATGTTTGTGATATAACAGACCCCAATGACTTGTACAAGTTGCAGTGTCGATGTCAACACAACACTTGTGGATCTCAGTGCGAGACGTGCTGCCCGGGCTTTATTCAGAAGAAGTGGAGACCAGCAGGCTACCAGGATAGCTTTGTTTGTGAACGTAAGAAATTGTTTTATCAACCTCAGAGAGGTTCATGTTATCTAAAATGTTTAATGAATTCCTGAAGGTTCAATTATCTAAAAAGTAAAATAATCTTGTGGTAATTTTGATGCCTAAATCAGTAAAAAAATTGGGCAATTATAAAAGAGCCCAGCATGCAGTGATGGCTAAGGGTACCAAGGCAATGCTAATAGGTGTAATACTATAGATGATGATAAATAGGTAGTGGAATGGAAATTGACTCACTATTGAAGAGTACAAACTTGCACTTGCATAATTTTTTTATAACCGAATTCAAACAGTGGGATAGTGGATTTGCCTGTAAGCAAGTTGATGTGCAAGGATTGCATAAATAATTTTCTGTGGGGGAGCCCCTGCGGCTCCCTGGAGCTTATCAGGCTATTGTATGTTATATTAGACCGGGACATTAGCTAAGGAGTTCAGTCCTACCAGGGACCAGTGCCAGAAACTAGCCCCTTCAGAGAGGTTTCGGGAGCAATGGCCCTGGAAAACCCCCTTGTGGTTGGGGTTTTCCTTATCTGTCATCGACCGGGGTTAGGCACTCAGAAAGGTAGGCATAACAAAACAAACCACACATGGTAAAAAACTAAAACAAAAAACCGAACAGAGAGGTAGAAACTCCCTGCAATCCCAAGGAAACAAGCTTTTTTTGGAAACAAGCCACTTTTACCTCCGTCATGTTGCCTGTTGAGTCACTGACACCTTGACCCAGAGTCTTGCGAGAGATTTTCTCTGCTTGTTCTCCAGTACTCTCCTGATGTTATTACTGTTCAGAGTACAGGCGGTATCCATGTTGCAAGCGAGCTTAGGTTGCTGCAACACACAAGGTTGGTTTCCCACTCGGATGCACCGGGGCTGCCCCGTTTTGGTTAGGTGCTGTTTGCCTTTTTCCCCTCCCTGTTCCCGGCTCCAGGCTGTTTGCGGGTTTCGGGGTCGGGGCGGGGTTTAGTTGGGGCCGAGACTCGAGCGGTTTCGGGGGGCTGCCCCGTTCGGGTTGGGGACTGAGGTTTTTGAGCCTGTTCCTCCTGCCAAGGCTTCTGGGTCTTACCAGTGGCCCTTTCTTGCTGCCTTTCCCATGGACTCTTCCTTTTCTTTAAGGGCGGAAGGCTTGGAGGACGCCTCTGCCCCAGGGCCTCTGTTGCGGGTTCCTGGGGCTGTGGGGGATGCCTGCTAGCAATTCTGGGGCTGTTTGCCCTTGCCTGGGTTTTTTGCTTCTGGGTGGAGTTTTTCACTCATCCAGTCTGCTTGCTTCCCACTTTTGCTAGCGTGTTTTTGTATCTTTTGCATCAGTCACCGCCCCTGTTCTGGTGGCCATTTTCTTATGCTGGTTACCAGGCGTGGCCACCAGGGTGGCATTGCGGTTTGTTTACATGCGCCTGGGTGTACGAGCGAGTGTCTTGGGTGAGTTTTTCACCTTTTTCAGGGGTTTTATTTTCCTGATGTCGTTTCTTTGCTATTCTGGTGTTTTCTGCCCGTTTTCTGTTCCTCTGGGAATGTTTGAGTGTTGATTTTACACCAGGTTTTCCATTTGTCTGTTTTGGGTCTGGGCCCTATATAGGGTGTGGGCTCAGTGCCACTGTCTGTTTATGCTTGCTCCCACACCTTGTCCCTTGGTTTTCGGTCCGTTTTGGCCGTTTCCCTGGGGGTTCTGTCTGGGGGCTCTGCTTTGCCTTTCTGTGGTGTATCTCCGCCGGCAAATGTGGTGGTTTCGGCTCCCCCCTGGTTCGATTCCGAATTCCTTTGGGTTCTTTCGTTTCGTTCTGGAGGTTTCTTCCTCTTGGGCCCCCTTTGTGGGTTCAGGGGGCTTTGTTTCCTTGTGTGTGACCCGTCTCTGCCTTCTGGGGTTCTGGGGTCTTCCTGGTTTGCAGACTGATCTTTTTGGGGCTTGGCATGTGTTGTGGTCGTGCTGGGACTTTGGGTTTTGTTGTCGTGGTGGGTCATTTGATGCAGTTTTGTGCTTTCTTCGCCTGGCCGGCGTGGTGCTTTCTGCCCACTGGTCAGTGCCTTTTAATTTTCTTTTCATGTGTATGTGTGTGTAATTATGCCACACAAGGCAAACGCTGCCTAGGAAACTGAGGCCAGAGAAGCATCTATCCCGGTTGACATTAGCTTACAAACTGATGCTAGGCAGCCGGCGCGGTGAGGTCCGGGGCTCCCACCTCCCCCTCTCGGGGTGGGGAGGGCTGCGCGGATGATCGGCGCAGCAGTAAAGTGTGATGTTTGCTTGTTTGCTTGTTTCCTTGGGATTGCAGGGAGTTTCTACCTCTCTGTTCGTTTTTTTGTTTTATTTTTTTACCATGTGGGGTTAGTTTTGTTATGCCTACCTTTCTGGGAGCCTAACCCTGGTCGATGGCAGATAAGGAAAACCCCAACCACAAGAGGGTTTCCAGGGCCATTGCTCCCTGAAACTTCTCTGAAGGGGTCAGGTTCTGGCGCTGGTCCTTGGTAGGTCTGAACTCCTTAGCTAATGTCCTGGTCTAATATAACATACATTAGCCCGATAAGCTCCAGGGAGCCTCCGGGGCTCACCCAGAAAATGGCGTTTCATTACATTCAACGCTGGTTTTTTTTGTTGTTGTTTTATTTTTAAAATGCAATGGTTAGTGATGACTAATTTAGTATTTTATAGTTTTTTATTATAATACTGTATTCTTGCATCATTGCTCTTCCCAAGTACTCTGCAATGTATTATGTTCTGTATATATTGTTAAAATGTTGAAATATTGAAGTGGGTGTTATATTGAAAGAAGTGTGGAAAAAGATAAATTTTGCAGGTGTCTGGAATGCAACCCAAATTCTCCCCATATAATGTTTTGAGATACTGTACATAAATTCTCTCTGTACAATGTTTCAAAAACTTTTCTCAGGCACATAGTGTGATTAGAGATCATTGTAAAGTGGTGACTGCACTGATATGTAGTCATCATCTTGACGTCACTTCAACACATATTGACCTACAACTTTCACATATTTGAGTACGAATGCCAAAAAATGTTTATTAAAACATACAAGTAAATAAATGAATTAGAACTACCTTATACATTGTCGATAACTTCAACTTCAATTATCTCTTAAACTAGAGTTTCAACATTGAGTCAGCTTCAAAAAATCCATTTTCTGACCGATTCTCACCATATTTACATATAGTGTGCACCAGTGTCTGTTCTACAATCCTATTAGGATGGATTTTTCATAAACTCTAAAGTGTTTTGAGTTATAAATTTTTGTTGTCTTTATTTGGTGCATATTTCAAATGCCATGTTGACGATTTTTTTTTACAGTAAACTAAACTGAAAATCTATATTCTAAATCTATTAAAAGGATGATCATATACTATTCTGAGAGCATAACACTTAACACTTTAATGCTCTGGGCGCACATGCGCCACATTACCCCGGGTGGGTTTGGGCATTCCGCGGGAGTGCGCGGTAATTCTGAAACGTGTATAATCTTTTCAACTTTGTTACCTCAATTTTCGTCCTAGGTTTTTCAATTTGACATCATTGTGTTCGCAATAAAATTCTCTACAGGACTAAAGGCATATTAAGTCCAAATGCCCAGCGTACTATTCGCAACAAACAGAGAAAGTGAGAGCATGTTACCCGGGAGCACGCAGGACCGATAAAATGCGTACACTCCTTTCACTTTGGTCACCTCAATTCTCGTCCTAGGTCTTTCATTTTGGTATCATTGTGTTCAGAATAGAATTCCCAATAGGAAAATATATGCATATAATGTAAAAAACAGCGGCGCGCTCCACCCGCCGACAAGATGAAAGTTACCAGAAAGAGAGCGAGCTGCACCATCCCAAGGCGCCTCTCATTACAATAGAGAGCGCGGTCATACCGAAATGTGTATACTCTCTTCAACATTGTCATCTCAATTCTCGTCCTAGGTTTTTCAATTTGGTATCAATGTGTTTGCAATAGAATTCTCTACAGGATTAAATGCATGCGCGCGTGCAAATTAAATACAGGATTAAATGCACGGGGCGTGCGAGTTGTCTCGAATATATTTTTGTTCATTTTTTGCGCACATTTCCAAATACATTTTATTTGTTTTTATGTGCTAATCCTATGTATAATGAACACGTACACTATATTATGGCAGTAAAACATCCGTACTGTCCGAGGACACTGTGTTACGTGCATGACACTTGTGTACACATATGTTGCACATATATACCATGTATCATGCTAATTTATGTATATATATAATCTATTTACAGACTATACATTGTCACACACTATATACATTCACCATCAACACATTCAGAACACTGCGAGTGTGAGCTGTCACACCCAGCCAGCCCTCCCTCACTCCTCCAACATTGTATTCGCCAACATTGCTCCTCCCATCATACAGTTATTCACACCAATGTTTCATGTTTATTTATGTATATTTACAACATATGTACACACTATATACATTCACCATCAACACATTCAGAACACTGCGAGTGTGAGCAGCCACACCCAACCAGCCCTCCCTCACTCCTCCAACATTGTATTCACCAACATTGCTCCTCCCATCATACAGTTATTCACACCAATGTTTCATGTTCATTTATGTATATTTACAACATATGTACACAATATACACTGTCACACACTATATACATTCACATCAACACACTCAGAACACCGCAAGGGTGAGCAGCCACACCCAGCCAGTCTTCTTCACTCCAACATCTTACTTGCCAACATTCCTCCTCCCACCATACTGTTATTGTTTTTATTACACTATTTACACATGTTATATATACCTATCTATATGTTTTATTTACCAGAACTATGCAAGTAAGCCGGTATTGTGTCCAAACAGTACAGTGGCCACCATACACTGCATGAGAAATCACACAGCAGACGATGCTACGATTACGATGTCACCTCCCTCAACAAAATAGCTCCTCTCAACATACTCCTGATGCTGTTATTGCACTATATACACACACTGTATATACCCATGTACATGTGTGTTCCCCATAGCGAACCACGAAACTAGTATAGTGACCAAAACAAGAGTGGCTGCCACACAGTGAGGCTACCTCAATTCTCTCCCTTCCTCCCTCCCTCACCAAAATTCCTCCTTCCACAATATTATGCACAATGCTAATTATAACCACAATCCTGGTCACTAATTCCAGTAAATGAATAAGTGACCACAAGTTTATTTTGAAAAGGAACCTAAAAAGTCGTTTGAAGATTCCTAGATGGATGAAATAATGCTGTGGTGCTGTGGCTAGCGCTGTGAACATTGTGAAGAACATTGAATCACTGATATTTGAACATTGTACCCAGTCATTATCACACTCAAGCTCTTCTATAATACTATCATGGCTAAATAATACAGATCATATATATATTTTGACATTATTAGGCGATGCTGTGATCACACGCTGAACAGCAGTGCTGTGCGCTCATACTGCGAGCGCCAGCCTTGGTGACTCACTCAGTACTGAGGCTCCCATACCCGGGAATGTGGACCACAATATTTTTTAAAGATGGCGTCTGTTTACAAAAGCCCTGAGGAAGCTGATGTGAACCCCAAGTAGCCGCGGGAGTTTTGAATGGAACGTAAAAAATACAAATACTCAGAGGCGTGTAGCGCACCCCAGACGTGGGCCTGCAGGTGCGTTGCGCAGTTAAAGGGTTAATGCACTAAATATACAGGCAAGACAACAATGTGTCTTTCAAGGCAGCTAACAATGTACAAGCACTAAGACTTTATGAAGAAACATATATTCTCTACACTTAAACAGATCATCACCAGAGATATTCTGAAAAACAACTTGTAAATAATTGATAATAATATTATTATAAGAGCAATAATTGAAGACTGGACTTGTGTTATTGTTTAAGATTCAGCTTCTTGGAACAAAAAGTCCCAAGTAGCACAGGCAATGGTGAACCCATAGTGGACTTACCTGGCACAGGAGTGGTGCTGTAACTAGAAGACTGGACATTGTTGAGGCATTGTACATCTAGCAAACCAAGCCAGCTAACACCAAATTACACTCTGCCATTTTTTGTGAACATGATAATACATACAAAATTCTGCCCCAGCCATTATGGAAATATTGGAGATTGGTAAGCTGCAATGGGCCTATTGGCCCATAAGTGTGGTGCTTCACCTTCACCTCATCCTTGGCTATATATCTGGCAGAGCAAAAATTTGTAATCATTCAAACTCTTCCTTTGATAATATTGACAAAGGTCAATAAAATTCAGTTAGCATTAGGCCTTAATAAAAAGCCTGACACTAAGCATCTCTATTGCAACTTCTTCTATTGTATCTTACTTGCAAATATATCATTATCAGTTAATCACAACTTTTATATGTTATTACTCATGATCACATTCCACAAAATTTAGTTATTATATGGTACTGTATATGTTAGATAAAATATTGCCTTAGGCCTGATGATTATTTTAACTTAAATTTGTTTTTATTTCAGCGTGCAATTGCTATGGACATACTAATGAATGTATCTACAGTGAAGAAATTGATGAACAAAGACTTTCTATGGATATCTATGGCCAGTTTGAAGGTGGAGGAGTTTGCCAAAATTGCCATCATAATACAGAAGGTATCAACTGTGACCAGTGCAAATCTGGCTATTACAGGCCCTTTGACAAAGAACTCAGTGATATTGATGTATGCCAACCATGTGAATGCAATGTGTTCTACTCTACTGGAAATTGTACAGAAGGAACAGGGCAGTGTGAATGTCGCCCTGAATTTCTTCCACCTCTCTGTAAAGATTGTAATGATGGTTACTATGATTATCCTAACTGCAAACCTTGTGACTGTCATAGAAGTGGCACCGTTGGTGGTGTGTGTGAAGTGGGTGGTGGGCAGTGCCCATGCGAGGACAATTATCAGGGACTAAACTGTCATCAATGTGCCCCTAATTATTACAATTTCCCAGACTGCTTACCATGCAATTGCAGTGGGATTGGATCAATAGACGACGCATGCGATGCCGAAACTGGACAATGCAACTGTAAGAATGAATTCGGAGGTCGTATCTGTGATCGATGTGAACATGGCTACTTTCAATATCCAAACTGTACATGTAAGTGCTCTTCCTTTCATTAGGTGTATGGTTTTAAATAATTTATTGTTTGTTTTTCTCCAAAGTGTTCAAAATATCTGATGAATGTCTTCATTTTGGGGATGTTTTGGGTTGTTTTGGGACAAATAGTTGTCAATTTCAGTATTGCAGACAGGCCCATTTGAGTTGTGCAATATCACTGTTACATATTTTGGTTAATTTGCTTGTGACATTTAAAGCTAAATGTTAGTAAACACCATAGATATATATACTTCCAAACATATTCAATAAATATGATATTAGATGAGAATTACAAAAAATATTGGTCTCAAAACTATATGACTCTTGTATAAAAATATTGTTGTCTGTGTATGGGAGAAAATGTGCACATTGAGTGGGGGGGGGGGGAGATGTATTTATTTATTTAAGAATAGTAATAATAATTAGATTTAATTCATTACAAATTATAACTTATTATAATTAATAATTAAATGTTCCTTTATTTAAATTTACACTGATGCATTTACCAACAGTAATTATATAGGTAAACATTAATCATGTTATTATATAGCATAAGACTTTGTTATGTTAAAGGTTGAAAATGGGGGACAGATATACGGAAGATAAAAAGGAAATGTGTGAAACATTAAACGAAAAGTTCCAAAGTGTGTTTGTACAAAATGAGATCTTCAGAGAACCAGACACAATAAGAATTCCAGAGAACAGTATAGAGCACATAGAAGTGTCTAGAGACGAAGTGAAACAAATGCTCTTGGAGCTAAGTAAAAACAAAGCAGTTGACCCAGATGAAGTTTCACCATGGGTTCTGAGAGAATGTGCACCTGAGCTCAGCATTCCACTTCAGCTGATTTTTCAGACATCCCTGTGTACAGGAGTTGCAGCAGATGTGTGGAAAAAAGCAAACATAGTTCCATTCTACAAAAGTAGCAGCAGGGAAGATCCCCCCCCCTCAATTATAGACCTGTATCATTGACAAGTGTAATAGTCAAAATATGAGAAAAAATAATTATAACTAAATGGATAGAACACCTAGAGAGAAAGAATATAATACCAGACAGTATGATTTTTGATCTGGAAGATCCTGTGTATGGAATTTACTCAGTTTCTATGATCGAGCCACAGAGATTTTACAGGAAAGAGATGGTTAGGTTGACTGTATCTATCTGGACCTAAAAAAGGCCTTAGGCAGAGTTCCACATAAGAGTTTGCTCTGGAAACTGAAACATCTTCAAGGGGGTGACAGGTAAGCTTCTAACATGGATGAAAAATTTTCTGACTGCTAGAAAAATGAGGGCAGTAATCAGAGGTAATGTATCGGACTGGAGAAATGTCACAAGTGGAGTACCAGAGGGTTCAGTTTTTACACTGGTGATGTTCATTGTTTACATAAATGATCTACTAGATGGAATACAGAATTATATGAACATGTTTGCTGATGATGCTAAGATAATAGGAAGGATAAGAAACTTAGATAATTGTCATGCCCTTCAAGGAGACCTGGACAAAATTAGTATATGGAGCGCCACTTGACAAGTGGAATTTAATGTGCATAAATACCATGTTATGGAATGTGGAATAGGAGAACTTAGACCCCCCACACAATCTATAAATTATGTGGAAAATTTTTAAAGACTTCTCATAAAGAAAGAGATCTAGGGGTGGTTCTAAATAGAAAACTTTCACCCGAGAACCATATAAAGAGCATAGGCTGTGTGTAGCCTATGCTATGTTTTCTAACTTCAGAATTGCTTTTAAATACATGGATTGCGAAATACTAAAGAAATTGTTCACAACTTTTGTTAGGTCAATGCTAGAATATGCAGCGGTTGTATGGTGCTCATATCTTAAGAAGCACATCAACAAACTGGAAAAGGTGCAAAGATGTGCTGCAAAGTATCTCCCAGAACTGAAGTGCAAGAGCTATGTAGAGAGGTTAAAGGCATTAAATATGCCAAAAACTAGAAGATAGAACAAAAAGAGGTGATATGATCACTATGTACAAGATAGTAACTGGAATTGATAAAATTGAAAGGGAATACTTCCTGAGACCTGGAACTTTGAGAACAAGAGGTCATAGATTTATACAGTACTAACTAAACAAAGCAGCCAAAGAATATAAAAATATTCACTTTCGCAAACAGAGTGGTAGATGGTTGGAACAAGTTAGGTGAGCAGGTGGTAGAAACCAAAACCGTCAGTACTTTCAAAGCGTTAAACGACAAAGAGTCCGGGGAAGACGGGTCACCATGAGCTTAGCTCTCATCCTGTAACTACACTTAGATAATTACACTTATGTAATTACAACACTGCTTGTACCTTACAGACAAACACGTGGTCTGGGCTTGTCCTTTTCATTATCATTTCATCGTAAATTCCTTCTTGCTGATGGAATTTCTGTCCTCTGAACACCAGCAATATTCCAGTGATCCAGTAGCTGGCATATTTCCTTGTGTTTAAGGATACAATACTTCAGGACAAGGGCAAATAGAGGACTTCCTTCCAGCTCCTGAAGGTGGCCTGCTCTCTTCCTGACTGTGAGAGAGTCACAGTCGCACAAGGCGCTTCTCAGGCACCAGGTGGATCCTGTGACATCATTCCATCTTTGCCTATCAGAAGGCCTGAGCATTTTGGTTTAGGCACCTCTTGCTCGTCTTGGCATGAGGCCTAGTGTACCAGTGTCTCAACAGAGGTCTACACTGTCGCCACCGAGGGGGGATGAGGGTTTTTTATGACTGCAAGGTTAATGAGGGAAAGAGAGCCTGTCTGGACCCTCCACTACCACTCTACAGCAAAAAGTATCCCTCTGGTTGGGTAGTAGGCCACCCTTGGTACCAGAGCCTTGCATTATTCATTGCAGTACATCCAGACGTCTTAGGTCAATTCAGTGACATCTTGAGACTCCCCTTGATGTGCCGAGTCCATTGATACCCAACTTGATAAATTTTGAGTACCAAATAACAGAGTTAACCATTTCAAGCACCATTGCAACCAATACAAGCAATGAGTTAGTGCCTTTAGAGACTCCACTCTCACACTGGGCAGGGTTAAGCCGGGATGTGGCTTAGGCTGATCTGGGGGTTGTCCCTTCCAATTCAGGTGCAGAGGCCTTTGAACCGCTCTTTCCCACCGAAGCTTCTGAGTGTTCCCAGCCAACTCTCTTTTTTTTTTTTAATCTTTTCCCTTGGAATCCATCTTACCCTCCCAGATAGTGAAAGAGTGCTCTGCCCTGGGGCCCTTGCCTGTGGTTCCCAGGGCTAGAGGAGAGTCTGATTTAAGTTTTTGGGTTCCTTTTGATGCTTTGTGGGTGTTTGTGCCTTCTCTGCAAGGTCTTTTTGTTGCAGGGCAGTTTTTTTTTTTATCCCCCTTCCCTGTATGACTTTGAGTTAGGCGGGGCTCACACAGAAAATGGCGTTTCATTACATTTAACGCTGTTTTTTTTCAAAACGATATCCAGTGTTTTTCTTTTAGGGAGTTCTGTCCACTCGCTTGGCGATTTTCATTGATTTAACCAGAATAGGGGTTTGTTTTGTGGTGCTTACCTTTCTGGGTGCCTGTCCCAGTCGATGGCAGATATAGAATGCTCCAAATCACATATGCATTTCTATGGGCCATTGCTCCTCGTGCCTCTGTGAGGGGGCCAGTTTCCGGCTCGTGGTCCTCAGTAGGCCTAGATCTCCACCAACATTGACTGATGCAAAATAGTTAGGGTATCCATATCAGCCTGGGTAGCTCCGGGGAGCCTCAGGGACTCACCCAGAAAATTGCGTTGCATTACGTTCAATGCTGGTTTTTTTGTCCCTAGGTGTTTACACATAAGAATCTGGGAGTAATTCCATTACAATGTTTGACAAGATTATCATGAAATATCAGCTACTTGAAACTAGCTGAGTAAGACTAGCCAGGAATATTTTAGTTAACTTTGCAAGACGATCCAGAGGTCATCTGGGCTAACCTCTTGGAGAAGGGTTCCCTGGGTGTGAGCGCTTGGGGAGGGGGGGTCATGGGTGTTACACTCTCGCGATCGCTGGGTACGGATCCCAGGAGTCTTGTGTCGACTTTTTTTTTTTTTTTTGAGATATATACAAGAGTTCCTACATTCTTGTACAGCACTAGTACGCATAGCGTTTCAGGCAGGTCCCTGGAATATGACCGCCAAGAAGAATCGTGGGGGTCATATTCCCCAATTTTACAACCAAGTACCATTTTACTGTTGAGTTAAACAGAGACTACTGTTAAACTCTTTCACGCACCCTGCCCGCCAGCCCTCAACTAGGCCCAGTGGGTCCCAGCGTTTCATGGGAGCGTGCGGTAGTTCTGAAAAGTGTATAATCTCTTCAACTTTGTCACCTCAATTCTCGTCCAGGATTTTTCAATTTGGTATCATTGTGTTTGCAATAGAATTCTCTACACGACTAAAGACATATAAACTCCAAAAGCCCGGCGTACCATCCACAACAAACAGAGAAAGTGAGTGCGCGTGTTACCCGGGAGCGCATAAGAGTGATAAAATGTGTACACTCCTTTCACGTTTGTCACCTCAATTCCCGTCCTAGGTCTTTCATTTTGGTAACATTGTGTTTGCAATCAAATTCCCTACAGGAATATATGCAAATATAAAGTCCAAAAGCCAGGCGTACCACCCACAGCAAACAGAGAAAGTGACGGAGCATAATCCCAGTGAGCGCTAATAAAATGGTATACTGTTTTCAACTTTGTTACCTCAATTCTGGTCCTAGGTCTTTCATTTTGGTATCAATGTATTCACAATGAAATTCCCTACAAGAGTATATGCAAATAATATCCAAAGCCACTGTGCGCCCCTCCCGAAGCCGCCGCCAATCTGCCTCCGAAAATGAAGCAATGCTGCATCGTTACCGGGATCGCGTCTACTAAAAAAATGATGCAATGCTGCGTCATTACCGGACGAAAGTGTTAAACTGTTAATGATTTGCACCCAGTAAATCCTCCCCAACCAGGATACGAACCCATGACAAAGCGCTCGTGGAACGCCAGGTGAGTGTCTTACTACTACACCACAGAAACTGTATTGAGCCCAGGAAGGCTGCTGCGTCGCCGGCTTCCTTTGGGGTTTGGAGTTTTTCGGGGTTCAGTGCCGTGGTGCCTCCCCGAGCCCGCGCTCGATGTGTTCACGGATGCCTCGTCTCTCGGCTGGGGTTTTGTGACAAGTGCTCACCAGGCCGGCCAGGGTCAGTGGGGTTCATTCTTCCGTCAAGCTCGCAGCACGGCGCGGAAGTTTGCGGTGGTGTGGCATTCGCTTCAGAGATTTGTGTCACTTGTGGAGCAATGATCCGGCTCCATTCAGAGTGGTCCCTGGTGGTTCATTGCCTGAACCGCGGGGGTTCGATGAGGTCCTTGGCTCTTTGGGGCTGGTCGCTTCGGGTCACTCGTCTGTTGAGTTCTCGGGGTTTGGCTCTCCTGGTGGTTCATGTTCAGGGGGGTTGTCAAATGTCCTGGCAGATGGCCTGTCTCAGTTCTTTCCCCTGTCCACGGAATGGACGATCGACGCTGACTTGTTCAGTTGGCTCTGCCGGACATACGAGCACCCAGAGGTGGACCTCTTCACATCAGCGTAGTCGAGGTGTCTTCCAGTTTATGTGGCGCCCTTCCCAGACTGCGAGACTGTTGGGGTTGATGCTTTTCGGCTGGACTGGTTGAGATGGAGTTACCTGTACCTCTTCCCACCGGTCCGGTTGTTGCTCTGGATTCTGGCTCGGTTGGAGACTTACCAGAGGAGAGTAGTCCTGTTGGTTCCTTGGTGGCTGGCCCAGCCCTGGTTTCAGGCACTTCTTGCTCGATGTCCGAACCCGAGGGTTTTTCCGCGGCTCTGCTTCTTTCAGCAGATCGGTCCGGTTCGGTACGTGTCTGGTTCAATCTTCTCCTCCACTCTTCATGTCTGGTCTTTTTGACGTGAGTTCATCACCACTTGTATGATGATCAGGTGACTTCACTGATGGTGTCCCACCTGTGAGTTTCGTCTAGATGGCAGTATGAAATTTCCTGGCAGTCCTTTCGGCATTTTTTGTCTCTCCATAGGTTGTCTTCGATTTCTGATTGCTTGTTTTGTCCTTTCTCTCTTGGTTGTTTCAGGACTGTCATCTTATGCCAAATACTGTCGCCTCATATCGTGCAGTGCTGGTGGAGTTGCTGCAGCTTGCATTCGGGGTGGATGTCACTTCTGCTCCGCTCCACAAGCTTTCTCGGGCATTGTTTCACCTCCGGCCTGCTCATGCGCCGCCTGAGCCATCCTGGTCGTTGGATCGGGTACTCTCTTTTTCTCTCTTCTCCTCTGTTTTTGGGGGCCCGTCCCCCCCCCCCTCTTGGTTCAGGACTGTTTTTCCAAGGCTCTTTTCTTGTTGGCATTGGCCTCTGGGGGTCGGGTCGGGGAGCTTCATGCTCTCCTCCGCCGCAGGGGTTTTTGCTCTTTCATTCCTGGTGGTCGTTTCGTTCGTTTGCAGCCTTCTTCTTTTTTTCTGGCAAAGAATAAGTTTGCTGCTTTCCGAAGGGGTTCTTTGGTTGTTGATGCTTGGTTGATTCGACCAGGGATGCATCATGTTTTGTGTCCGGTTGCGGCTCTTCGCCGTTATCTGCATACTACGGCCTCCGTGGCAGGGGATGCTCATTGGGTGGACCCGGTTTTCCTTCTTCCCTGTTCCAGGGCATGAGTCTCCCAGGTCGTCAGCAGGATTATTTGGTCCAGCCAGCCTGTGGTCTATCCCCGTGCCCACAGCGTTCGTAAGTTCGTGGCTTTGGCTGCTGTTTTTAGGAATGTGTCCTGGGCTGACATTCGGGCACGGGGCTTTTGGAGGTCGAACAGGGTCCTGGCCGCACGGTATCTCATAAATGTTCCTGGCCCTTCTCGGGCGTGTGTAGCCTTGGGTTGCAGGTTGCAGCCAGTTGTTTCAACTTCAAATTGAAGAGTGAGTGACGACCACCTCCTGGGTAAGTCCCTCTTTTTCTTTATCTTTGGTTAGGTAGCTCTGGGGAGCCGAAGGGGCTCTCCACAGAAAACGAGCGTTGAATATAATGAAACGCAATTTTCTGGGTGAGACCCGGAGGCTCCCCAGCATCCCCTCCCTCCGTCCTTCCCTCCGGTCGGCATTTTTTTCACGTTTTTGATACTCAGCCTCTGAACTGAGGAGAATTGCCTACATGGAGGTCTTGGACCCCCCATGTCCCCCTCTCGAGGAGGTGGGGGGGAGTGGGTGGGTTGCACAGATGGATGTGCGGCGTTTGTGGTGACGTCATACTTGTTTCCTTGGTTTTGATTGGAGAGGTTCTCTTGCTAGTTCGGCTTTCGGTTTGCAAATTCTTTGATCAGCAGTAGTTTATTTTGGAATTCCTACATTTCTGGGTGCCTGACCTGGTAGATGGCAGACAAAGACTGCTTCCAATTACACGGGGGTGTCTTTAGGCTATTGCTCATTGTGTCTCTCTGGAGGGGGCCAGGTTCTGGCTCTGGTCCCCTGGTAGGCCTGGAACTCCTTCAATTGACTGTTGCCATGGTCTAATATATACACATCAGCCCAGTATAGTTCCGTAGAAGCTCCAGGTATCACCCAGAAAATGGCATTTCATTACATTCAGCGCTGGTTTTTTAAATACTTAACATCATTTGCAATATTGGCAACTATTGAGCCAACTATCACAGCCACTATTGAGCTTGTAGACCAATGGGACTGGTATATAGACAATGTTAACATTGTCTATCTAAAGTTGAATTTCGTTTGATGATTTATTTCCAAATAAAATGTAGTAGGTCTTTTCAATATTTAGTGTGTTTGTTGGTTGACATCCATGAGTGAACTTTTTTTAATTTGTTATTTACAATATTATTTAGTGTGTGGAGGTTGGGAAGAAGGGGAAGGGGAAGGCAACTTCAGGAATTGGAAAGACAGAAAGGTTTGAGAGTGAATATAATTTCATCATTAATACTGGAGGCATAGACAAACAGGGTAACATCACCAGCATATGCTACACTGGCAAACATTACAACATCATTTACAAATCTAAATCAGGGCTCTTTCAAGGCATTCTTTACAACTGTTGTTAGACCAATATTGGAATATGCAAAACCGGCATTGAACTGCACCTTCTGAAGCATAAAACAAAAATTGAAAAGTCAAATGTTTGTAAGAAGCTTAGTGCCTGAGCTAAAAGGGGGTAAGCTGTGAAGATGGGTTACATGAACTAGATCTCAAAAGTCTAGAAGACAGAAGAAACAGATTGTACATGATCATAACATACACAATACTGAGGGGAATAGGCAAAATGGACAATGACAGACTTTAAAATGAGAGAAAGTAAGATGAGCGGACATAAGTGGAAGCTGGATGCAAATGAGTCAAAGGGTAAGGAAATACTCATACCTTGTATAGGTGGTCAACAACTGGTCTTTACACTCCTGGAACTAATTTTATTATACTCACTTCCCTTCTGTAATCATTGCATACTTTGTAACCATTACACAACCTTCATATCCAGAGATGTTCAATTCTCAGGAATACCTTTCTTGATTACCCTTAGGCAATGGATGTACTGTATATCTAATTTTATCACTTTGTTATCTCTCTACGTGTCTTAATTTAGCTACATGCATAATTTTGCCTTACTAACATATATAAATTAATTTTTTCCACTAGTCTGCAACTGTGATGCACAAGGGACTCAAGAGGAAATTTGTGACAAGGACACTGGGGAATGCCTGTGCTTGATTGGCTTCAGTAATAACCGTTGTGATAGCAGCGCTCCAGGATTCTGGAATTATCCTTACATTCTCACCTGTGGATGTCATGAGAGAGGTTCTGCATCATCTATCTGTGATGTGTCTGGAGACTGTGCTTGCCTCGCTGGCTTCTCTGGTCGAGCATGTGATCAGTGCAGTCCTGGATACTACAACTTCCCGGAATGTATACCCTGTAATTGTGATCAAGCAGGAAGTATTGGCATTTCATGTGATATAGATGGAAAATGCCAGTGCAAACCAAACTACAATGGAGCTCATTGTGACATGTGCCTTGAAGGTTTTTACAATTTTCCTTTATGTGAAGGTGAGTCTCAATATAAATGGTTTAAATTGCATTACAAAATGTACCGTATAGATACCTAAGGCTTGTGGTTTTGCTATAAACTGTTTTATTTAGATGACTTAGTTTATGGTTTTAGTTTACTATTTTGACACTGTTAGGAATCATTGCCAGATGTTTCTCATAATGTGTCTCATGAGGTAATAACCCATCAGTGATGGTGTCACACAAGTAACCAGGCTGTTGGTAACTTGAACAGTAAGCTATAAGTGCCTTTCTGGGCAATGCTGTCAATGGTTTTCCCTGAGCTTATAGCACTGGCACTCCAAGGGACTACAGGAACTGTTGACTCACCCGGCACCTATATCTGAGCCCCACGCAACAACTGCCATGCCCTTCCAGGGGACAAGAGAGCACCTGGGGATCAATGGTTAATGTATTACTGAGGAAAACCACAGTGTAAATAAAAGGGAGATAAAACACTCAACAGAGGAGGTCTCCTCAGCTATTCCTTGTTTCCATCTTTAATGGTTCATTACTCCTTTTCTTCTATCTTCTAGCTTTGGTATAGATATCATATGTGGCCTCTCCTTGTAGTTCTTGTTTTTCAGCTCTGGAAGCCATTTATTTGCATGTATTTACACATTTTCCAGTTTGTTGATGTGCTTCTTAACACTTTCGCACTCTGGGTCCCCAAGCGCCCCACCAACCTGGGTGGGTTTGGGCATTCTGCGGGAGGGCGAGGGAGAGCGCGGTAAATTCTGAAAAATGCATACTCTTTTCAACTTTGTCACCTCAATTCTCGCCCTAAGATATTCAATTTGGTATCAATGTGTTCGCATTAGAATTATCTACTGGACTAAATGCATATAAACTCCAAAAGTCCGGCTTACTGTCTGCAACAAACAGAGAAAGTGGGTGAAAGTTACCCAGGAGCGCACAAGAGTGATAAAATGTTTACACTCTTTTCAGTATTGTCACCTCAATTCTCGTCCTAGGTCTTTCATTTTGGTATCAATGTGTTCGCAATAGAATTCCCAACAGGAGTATATGCATATAATGTACAAAACAGGAGCGATCTCCATCCCCCCAACATGATGAAAACAGGCTGCAGTTACCAGAAAGAGAGTGCTGCGCCACCCTAAGCTGCCTCTCATTACTTTAGAGAGCGCGGTAATTCTGAAAAGTGTATACGTCTTTCAACTTTGTCATCTCAATTCTCATCCTAGGTTTTTCAATTTGGTATCAATGGGTTTGCAATAAAATTTTTTACAGGACTAAATGAATATAAATCCCAAAAGCCCAGCAAGAAAGTGAGAGCGTCTTATCTGGGAGCGAGCAAAAGCTCTCTTTTCACTTCACTCCCCTCACTTCACTCTCTTCACATTGGACATCTCAATTCCTGTCTTAGGTCTTTCATTTTAGTATCATTGTGTTTGCAATAGAATTTCCTATGGGTGTATATGTAAATATAAAGTCCAAAAGCTCGGCGTACCACCCACAGCAAACAGAGAAAGTGACAGAGCTTTACCCGCGTGAGCGCTAATAAAGAGCAATAAAATGGGTATGCTCTTTTCAACTTTGTTACCTCAATTCTGGTCTTAGGTCTTTCATTTTGATATCATTGTATTCACAATGAAATTACCTACAGGGGTATATGCATATAATGTCCAAAACCGTGGCAAAACCTTCCCGAAAACGCCGCTACTTTTGCCGCACCGAGGACTCGATGCTGAGTCCTCGCAGGATATCCCTCTAGTAAAGGGAGGACTCAATGCTGAGTTGTCGCCGAGTGAAAGTGTTAATTAAGATAAGGGCACCATACAACCACTGTATATTCTAATTTTGGTTTCACTAAGGTTGTGAATAATTTCTTTAATATTTCAACATTCATATATTTAAAACTAATTATGAAGTTAGAAACTTAGCAAGGGGCTCCTCACATAATTTAATTTTTTTATTTTTTTAGATATATACAAGAGTTGTTACATTCTTGTACAGTCACTAGTAAGCGTAGCAATTCGGGCAGGTCCCTGGAATACGATCCCCGCCGGGAAGAATCATTTTTACAACCAAGTACCCATTTTACTGTTGAGTTAAACAGAGGCTACAGTTAAGAATTTGCACCCAGTAAATCCTCCCCGGCCAGGATATGAACCCATGACAAAGCGCTCGCGGAACGCCAGGCGAGTGTCTTACCACTACACCACAGATACTGGTTTTCTCTATGTGGTCTTCAGGTGACAGTTTCTTTACCTAGAACCACCCCAAGATATCATTATTAGAGTTCGTAAAAGTCTTTTCATATAAGTTGTAAGTTGTGTGTGGCCTATTTTCTCCTACTCCACTTTCCATAATGTGGCATTTATCTTATATTAATGTACAGACAGCCACGGGCTTTATGAACCGCTTTGGGCTGAGACTCGCTGGATAACTTGTGTTCATATATGTGGTTTGACATCTTGAAAATCTCTGGGGGAAGAAAATCGACAAGTTCATGGCATAAATTTGAAACCTGGAGGCATTTCCAATTAGCAAGAGTTAGTAGAAGTTGGAAGCCTGTGTGATGATCCACAAGTAGTCCACTAGAAAAGAGGCTAATGGAGTTTCAACTAAGGCTCTGGCAAGGGAGTATTTTCTTTAACTTTTTTCCGTGAAGAGGCTAGTGACGTTTATGTCCCAATATTATCCAACCCTGTAAGTGACCAATGAATTGAGCTAACAAATCAGTGATTATTATCATTGGCTAACTTACAAACAGACAGTGAATACAGTGAACAGACAGTGGCAGCGCTCAAGATTAAAACTGACTCAACCAGAGAGTTCGGACATTGTAAAATCTTCATCCGCGGTAGTGAATCAGTGCACTGAGCATTGATACAAGGCTGCCAAGAAAGGACTACCTTTTGTAGAGCAATTAGAGCCAGGGAAGACTCAGCGTTGTTGCCACTGGTGAAAGCTCTCCAGGATGCGACCTCTACTGTGCTCAAAAGAGTGGGAGCACCCTGAGATTCCATAGAAGGCTACGGAAGAGGTGTCTAGTGGAGGATCGGCGCCACATCTAAGATATCCAGGGAGTGAAGTACAAGATTTAGGTTACATGTGACATTACAAAACAACTGAGGATGTGATGATGAGGCTTCAGTGAGCTGTGGTGTATATGTACACCACAGTGCTTCGTCATGTCATCTTAGTGGGTGCGTTGGACGTGGTCGATCCGCCCCATCCTTCTGGGGTTCCCGTCTGCTCTATTCAGACACAGATCTGGTGAATCTGCGGTTCTTCTGGACTTCTTCAGTCTGCGCCCTGGATTCTATGCCCTCATTGGAGGACTGTTGTCTCCGGTCCGGCTTCTGTTGGGGCCGGGTGCCTGGATGGTGGCCCTGGACCTCCAGGTCAATTCTTGGCACGTTCCTCTCCAGTTTTCCGGGACTGGCACAGTTGGTGGTGGGGTCTTCAGGCTTGCCTCTTTTGTTGCCTTCCCTAGTTTGTAATTGGCACTTGGTGTATATACACATCTTTACCGGATCTTGGTGCCCTGTCTGAATCTGCTTGAGATTCGGTGTCTGGCCTACCTTGACGACTGACTGGTGTGGGCTCCCAGTCGGTCCGCTTGTCTGCTCACCAGGGGTGTGGTTCTTTCCAGATCACCGGGTTTGGTTTCCTGGTGATCTGGAGGCCGTTCCATTTTTTTCCTTCCCAGGTTCGGACCTAGCTGGGTCTTGTTTAGGGCTCTTGGGCCGCTCCTTGTCTTTCCCTCCAGAAGTGTTGCTGCAACTGTGGTCCTGCCTACGGCTGTTCATGAGGGGGTCCCGGTTTGCTCGGCAGTTGCTCGAGCAGTTGTGCAGGAGTCTGAACTTCGACGTGCTGGTCCGCCCGCAGGGACGGGTTTGGCTTCGGTGTCTGTTTAGTTCCTTCGGAGACTTCCCTTCCGCTTCTCTTGCAATCGTTGGGTTCGTTCCTCCGGGATCTCGTGTTGGTGCAGCATCACCAGCTTCCTCTTTGGGGTTTTCGGGGTTTTCTCCCCGAGCTTTCGCTCGATGTCTTCACGGATGAGTCATCTCTCGACTGGGGCTTTGTGACCAGTGCTCACCAAGTCGGCCAGGGATGGTGGGGTCTGTCCGTCCATTGGGCTCACAGCACGGTTCAGGAGTTCGTGGCTGTCTGGTTTGTGCTTCGGAGGGTTCGGGTCACTCGGTGCTCTACCATTCAGCTCCATTCGGACTGTTCTCTGGCAGTTCTTTGCCAGAACCACAGGGTTTCTTTTAGGTGTTTGACCTTTAGGGTTGGTCCCTTCGAGTGGCTCGTTTGCTGGATTCTCGGGGTTTGGCTAACCATGAGGTTCATGTCCGGGGTGTGTCTTACATCCTGGCAGACAGCCTGTCTCGGTTCATTCCTCTGTTTGCGGATTGGCCAGTCGTCGCCGACTCGTTTCGTTGGCTCTGCCAGATGTATGAACTCCTGGCCATGGACGTCTTCGAGTCGGCATGGTCTAGGCATCACCCATTCTGTGTGGCGCCCTTACCTGCCTGCGAGGCGTTCACGATGGATGCCTTTCTGCACGACTGGTTGAAGTTTGTGTTCCTGTTCCTCTTCTGCAGGTCCAGCTGTTGGTTCGGGGTTCTGGCTCGGTTGAAGCCCATTCCCAAGAGAGTAGTCCTCATGGTTCCTTGGTGGCCGGCCCAACTTTATTTCAAGTGCTGCTTGATAGGTGTCCGAACCCGTCACATTTTCCCACAGCTGCGCCTCTTTCGGCAGGTAGGACCAGTCCTGTACGTGACTGGTTCGGCCTTCTCCTCAGCTCTTCGCGTCTGGTATTTTGACGCAGGTATCACCATCTCTGTGGTGATCAGGTGGCTTTGTTGATGGTGTCCCACCTGCGAGCTTTGTTTCGGCGACAGTATGATGTTCCTGGTGTTCCTATGCACCTTTTTTTCTTGCTCTTCATAGGTCGTCTTCTCTTTCGCATCAGGTTGTCTTGTCGTTTCTTGGGTTTTCAGGACTACAGTTATTTGATGTTTCTTACTGTCGCTTCGTTTTGTGCAGCGCTGCCGGTGCCGCTCCGGCTTACGTTCGGGGTGGACGTCACATCTGCCCCGTTCCGTACGCTTTCTCGTGTTTTGTTTCACCTCTGGCTGGCTCATGCGTCACTTGATCCGTCCTGGTCCTTGATCAGGGTGCCCTCTTATCTTCTCCTCAGTTTGTGGCAGGCTTTTTGGTTCAGGTTTCTGCTCTTTGGTACTGATGGTAGGTTTGTACATTTGCAGCCTTTCTCCGTCTTTCTGGCAACGGTCGAGATGGCTGCTTTCCGGAGGGGTCCTTGGGTTATTGATGCCCGATTGGTTCGGCCGGGGGTGCATCCTGTGTTGTATGGTTGCATTTTTTTGCCGTTACCTGCATAGTGTGTTTGGGGATGCACTTTGGGTTGATCTGGTTTCCCCTCATTCCCTGTTTCAGGGCTCGGGTCTACCAGATCGTCCGCAGAGTTTTTAAGTCTTCCAGCCTGCAGTCTATCCTTGCGCCCGTGCTGTTCGGACATTTGCAGCTTTCGCTGCTTTGTTAGTGACGTCTAGGACTCATTTGGGGCACAAGGATTTGAGGATCGCACAGGTTCCTGGCCGTCCGTTCTTTATGCACATGTCTGCTCCTCTGTGTTCTTGTTGCCTTGGGTCGCAGGTTGCAGCCTGTTGTCTCGGCTTCGTGTTGCGGAGTTTGTGGTGACCGCCTCCCGGGTCAGCTCTTTCTTTTCCTTCTCTTTGGGTATGAAGCTCCAGGGAGCCGTAGGGGCTCCCCCACAGAAAACCAGCGTTGAATGTAATGAAATGCCATTTGCTGGGTGAGCCCCGGAGGCTCCCTGACAACCCTCCCTCCCACCGTTCGGCAGTTTTTTCACGTTGGTTGAAGCTTAGCTTCCGAACTGATGCTAGGCAGCCGGCGCAGTGAGGTCCGGGGCTCCCCCCTTCCCCTCTCGGGGTGGGGAGGGCTGCGCGGACGATCGGCGCGGCAGTAAAGTGTTATGTTTGCTTGTTTGCTTGTTTCCTTGGGATTGCAGGGAGTATCTACCTCTCTGTTCGTTTTTTTTTTTTAGTTTTTTACCGTTTTTTACCATTTTACCATTTGGGATTTGTTTTGTTATGCCTACCTTTCTGGGTGCCTAACCCCTGGTCGATGGCAGATAAGGAAAACCCCAACCACAAGGGAGTGTTCCAAGGCCATTGCTCCCTGAAACCTCTCTGAAGGGGCCAGGTTCTGGCGCTGGTCCCTGGTAGTTCTGAACTCCTTAGCTAATGTCCCAGTCTAATATAACATACATTAGCCTGATAAGCTCCAGGGAGCCTCTGGGGCTCGCCCAGAAAATAGCATTTCATTATATTCAACGCTGGTTTTTTCTCAGATATATAAAATACAGTTATTAAAATTTTGTTTATTTTTACTCATTACAGTACTTATTCATTTTATTGTTTATTGCTGAACTTTTGTCAATATCTTTCCCTGTCATTGCATGAGAAGGTCATCTGTAAATATTTCTCATGTGCATCTTTCTTGTCCTTTAACACTATCGCTCACCTGACACGTGCGTGGTCAACTTAGAGGTCATGGACCCAACATGCGGGCGAGCGTGCGGGCAAGCGCGCGGTGACCCCTAAATGTGTATACTCGTTTCAGCTCTCACCTTAATTCTCGTGCTACGTCATTTGTTTTGGTATCATTGTGTTCGCAATTAAATTCCCTACAGGTGTGTCTGAATATAATGTCCAAAAGCCTAGCGTGACTCCCAACAGCAAAGCCTAAAGTCAGCAAAAGTTACCCGTGGGCGCACAAAATCATTAAAATGTGTATACTCGTTCTATTTTTCTTACTATAATACTCGTGCAACGTCGCTCGTTTTGGTATCATTGTGTTCGCAATTAAATTCCATACAGATGTGTATGAATATAATGTACAAAAGCCTGGAGTGCCTACCCACAGAAAAGCCTAAAGTTACCCGTGAACGAGCACCAATTTGTACACTGCAACCTAATGTGTATACTCGTTCAGTTTAATAACATCAATTTTCGTGTTACGTCTTTTATTGTAGTATCAAATTGTTCGCAATAAAAAGGCGCGCATTTTAAAACTAGTCCCATAATAATAGAGTAATAACTGTAATTTTAACAAATATTTAAATTCTGGAAGCTCATCACAAAATTATTTTTATCTTTCCAGTGTTCTGACATAAACTTTTGTGTTACATCTTCTATTTTGGTATCAAATTGTTTGCAACGTAAAGGCACCCATTTTAAAACTAGTCCCAACATAATAGGACAATAAATAGAATTTTACCAAATATTTTAATATTTTGACCAAAAACCTATTTATAATCTTTCAAGTGTTTGGACATCAAGTTTCATGTCATATCTTTAATTTTGGTATCAAATTGTGTGCATTCTAAAGGTGCTCATTTTGATACTATCCCAAGGTCGATCGGATTAAAAATGAATTTTATACAAATAATTTTGTAGTGGACACAAGTCAGGTCCAAAGTTTGGATTCAAGAGAAAAAACTTGGACGAAAGTCAGGTCCAAAGTTAGCAATACTGTTAATACCATCTTCAGCTTTATATTTATTACATGAAACTCATATTCCCAGCCTTTTTAATTTTCTTATCACATGTTTCTACTGCTTTCAAGATATTTACTTTAGCAAATTACATACACATTTTCCATATCAAAACCTCAATATATTTACTTCCTGATGATACTCTTGTTAATTTATATTCAGTCTCACATTGCACTTCTTGATGTTAAATAAGCTTGTCATGTATAATGAATGGTATTTGGTTATGAGGTATATAAATATATTTCTTCTACAGAATGCAACTGCAACCCTGCTGGTGTACTAGAAACTTTTGGTGGCTGTGGTGATGCTCCAGTTGGAGAATTATGCCAGTGCAAGGAGCGTGTCACAGGAAGAATTTGTGATAGATGTAAGCCACTCTTCTGGGACTTGAGGCAGGAGAACCCTTTTGGTTGTGAGGAATGCAGATGCCATACTCCTGGTACAGTGGGTGGGATGGCATCATGCGAGTCAGGGACAGGCCAGTGCTTTTGCAAGCCCCGAGTCAGTTCTCGTCAGTGTAATGAATGCCGGGATGGCACATTTAACCTAATTGAAGATAATTTGTTTGGATGTTCTGATTGTGGTTGTAACTCAGGAGGTTCAGTGGATAATATTTGTGACAAAAGTAGTGGACAGTGCCGCTGCAGACCACGTGTTACTGGTCTGCATTGTGATAAACCACTTCAGCTCCATTATTTCCCAACACTCTATCAGCTCAAGTATGAGGCAGAAGATGGCCACACCCCTCATAACACTGCAGTAAGGTAAGAAGGAATTTATTCAATATATAAATGCCATTCTTGCAGAGATACATTTGGCTATATTGGATGTATTTTTTTTTTAATCTTCTCTATATTTTTTATGTTCTTTTTCTCATGAAAAGGAGGTTGAAAAATTCATTCTCAAATGTTAAGTTTACAGTTTTATACAACCTGAGGCATGCATTTCTCTGATCCAGCAGTGAAATGCTGAATCAGTGTAAGAATATATAATTTCCACACACAAACTCGTTATCACCAGAGATATCCTGACCAACATCACTGAAATATTTGACAGATACAATAGAGGATTAGACATTGGCAAAGCACTACACATCAAACAATCTCATCTAGCATCACTGACACACCCCACACACACCCTGCATCACTGACATCCCACACACACCCTGCATCACTGACACACCCCACACACACCCTGCATCACTGACACACCCCACACACACCCTGCATCACTGACACACCCCACACACACCCTGCATCACTGACACACCACACACACACCCTGCATCACTGACACACCCCACACACACACCCTGCATCACTGACACACCACACACACACCCTGCATCACTGACACACCCCACACACCCTGCATCACTGACACACCCCACACACACACACACCCTGCATCACTGACACACCCCACACACACACCCTGCATCACTGACACCCCACACACACACCCTGCATCACTGACACCCTACACACACCCTGCATCACTGACACCCCACACACACACCCTGCATCACTGACACACCCCACACACACCCTGCATCACTGACACACCACACACACACCCTGCATCACTGACACACCCCACACACACCCTGCATCACTGACACACCCCACACACACCCTGCATCACTGACACACCCCACACACACACCCTGCATCACTGACACACCCCACACACACACCCTGCATCACTGACACACCCCACACACACACACCCTGCATCACTGACACACCCCACACACACACCCTGCATCACTGACACACCCCACACACACACCCTGCATCACTGACACACCCCACACACACACCCTGCATCACTGACACACCCCACACACACACCCTGCATCACTGACACACCCCACACACACACCCTGCATCACTGACACCCCACACACACACCCTGCATCACTGACACCCCACACACACACCCTGCATCACTGACACACCCCACACACACCCTGCATCACTGACACACCCCACACACACCCTGCATCACTGACACAATCCTAATCACTGCATCACTGCATCAATCCTAAGTATTGTAGTACAGGTTGATGGTAGTGAGTGGTGTCCCAGAGAACATAAAGGTATAGTGCTCTTGAAAAATAGGTGAGATAACAGGAAAGTGCTAAGGGAAGTGAAAAATCGGATGAGAAAAAGTTGCCCTAGTGTTTACAGTGCAGAGAAGAACATTCAAGATGGCCACTGGCAAGGGGAAAAACAAAACAGAGCTTGATTTTGAGGGATTCAATGAAGAAAGCATTGATATTAGTAGTCTACATAACAAGTTGGTAAATTTAGATACTATAGTGAACTCTCATGTAGAAATAATTAGTAAATTGAAAGAAAGTAATGACCATTTGAATAGCAAAGTTTTATGTCTTGAGGGTTTAGTGAAAGACTTGCGCAAGGATAAGAATCAATTGGAAACAAATTGCAAAGCCATGGAAGAAGAAAATAAACTCTTAAAAATAGCTTTGGAAGAAGTTAAAGTAAATTTAAACATAAATGACTACAATAGGTTAGGCAAGGAAATTCAACAGGAGAAACACCTTTTGTCAGCACAGATGGAGGAAGTTACACAGGGAATAGAACAGTGCAAGAAAGATATGCAACTCACTTATGCACAAGTGGCCAAGGAGAAGGAAAAAATAGAAGAAGCAGTAAAGGAAGTCAAACACTGCAGCAACCAAGATAAAACAAACATTAGGCTAGAAGTGAGGAAAGAATTGGCATCTAACCCGAAGTTGGTGCAAAACACAGTTGATCGGAGTAAGTCCCTGATCATTTTTGGCTGCAAAGAAAAGGCGATAACATCTAGGTCAGAAAGAGCTGTAGAAGAAGCTAAAGTAGTAGATAAAATTGTTGGCCTCGTGGAAGGTCTTACAAACAGAGAGAATGTGTGCGACTACAGGAGAATAGGCAGGTACGTAAAAGGGAAAGATCGACCTTTGAGGATCACCCTAAACGGTGCCAAACAGATGGAAGAAGTACTAAGGAATGCTAGAAAATTGCAAAGGGATGAGGATGGGAAAGGGTGGTCGTTAAGACGAGATCTTTCAAAAGAAGATAGAGAGAAGCTGAAACTGAACCTCGCCGAGGCAAAACATTTAAATGAGAGCAGGAATGAAGAAGAAATAAATTCTTTTTTCTACAAAGTGATAGGGGTAGGCAAACCAGTAAAGTGGTACATAAAGGCAAACCAACAAAATCAATAGAGAGAGGGGGAGTGAAGAATAAGGAGAAGGGGAACAAGTTCCTGAAGATTGCATACACCAACATAGATGGAGTAAGATCGAAGATACTGGAGTTAAGTGATGTAATACAGCTGCAGACACCAGACATTGTTGCACTCACGGAGACAAAACTTGAAGATGTAATTTTAAATGAGGTCATATTCCCAAGGGGCTACTCAATTTGGAGACGGGACAGAAAAATTAGGAAAGGCGGTGGCGTTGCTGTGCTGGTAAAAGAACACCTAAAGGTGAAGGAAATAATGACTGCCAATCCACAAGAAGTTGACATAATAGCACTAGAGATCTGCTATGAGGATGATAAACTAATGATGATAAATGCATATAGTCCACCGCCAAGCAGCACATGGTCAAAGGAGGAGCTAGATAGTAAACGTGAAGGTCTTATAACAATAATGAGAGAGATTATAGCGAGAGCGGATAACGATAGATCACGACTGTTGATAGTCGGTGACTTCAACTTGAAATCCATAGACTGGGAAGCATATGAAGCTAAAACAGAAGATTTTTGGACCTGTAAATTTGTAGACCTCATCCTGGAAACATTCTTGTATCAACATGTTAAACAAGCTACGAGGATGAGGGAAGGGGACGTTCCCTCCATGCTAGATTTGATATTTACCAGGAAGGAGGAAGAGATATTTGACATTCAGTACCTTCCTCCCTTGGGTAAAAGTGACCATGTCTTTTTGGCAATAAAGTATGCAATGCATTATAAGCTGGAAGAAAATAAGGAGGTTGAAGCAGTTGAAAAACCAGACTTCAGGAGAGGACATTATGGTGATCTTAGAAATTTTTTTAGTGAGTATAATTGGACAGACTTGATGCTAGGCAAGGAAGTGAATGAGATGTATGGCAAGTTTTGTGAAATATATGATAAAGGCACAAAAAAATTTATACCAAAACAGAGATGCAGAACTAGGAAACAGGATTGGTTCAATAGAAATTGCGAGAGGGCTAGAGACCGAAAGACACAAAAATGGAATCAATACAGGAAGAGGCCGAACCCCCAAACATACCAGCGATACAAAGATGCGAGAAACAACTACACGGCAGTGAGGAGAGAGGCAGAAAGAAATTTTGAAAAAGGGATTGCGGACAAATGTAAAACAGAACCAGGTCTATTCTATAAATTCATAAACAACAAATTGCAGGTAAAGGATAATATTCAGAGGTTGAAAATGGGAAATAGATTCACGGAAGATGAAAAGGAAATGTGTGAAACACTAAACGAAAAGTTCCAAAGTGTGTTTGTACAAAATGAAATCTTTAGGGAACCAGATACAATAAGAATTCCAGAGAACAACATAGAACACATAGAGGTGTCTAGAGACGAAGTGGAAAAAATGCTCAAGGAGCTCGGTAAGAACAAAGCAGCTGGCCCAGATGGCGTTTCACCATGGGTTCTGAGAGAATGTGCATCTGAGCTCAGCATTCCACTTCACCTGATCTTTCAGGCATCCCTGTGTATTGGAATCGTAGCAGACGGGTGGAAACAGGCTAACATAGTTCCAATCTACAAAAGTGGCAGCAGGGAAGACCCCCTCAATTATAGACCTGTATCATTGACAAGTGTAATAGTGAAAGTATTGGAAAAACTAATCAAAACTAAATGGGTAGAACACCTAGAGAGAAATGATATAATATCAGACAGACAGTATGGTTTTCGATCTGGAAGATCCTGTGTATCGAATTTACTCAGTTTCTATGATCGAGCCACAGAGATATTACAGGAAAGAGATGGTTGGGTTGACTGCATCTATCTGGACCTAAAAAAGGCTTTCGACAGAGTTCCACATAAGAGGTTGTTCTGGAAACTGGAAAATATTGGAGGGGTGACAGGTAAGCTTCTATCATGGATGAAAAATTTTCTGACTGATAGAAAAATGAGGGCAGTAATCAGAGGCAATGTATCAGAATGGAGAAATGTCACAAGTGGAGTACCACAGGGTTCAGTTCTTGCACCAGTGATGTTTATTGTGTACATAAATGATCTACCAGTTGGTATACAGAATTATATGAACATGTTTGCTGATGATGCTAAGATAATAGGAAGGATAAGAAATTTAGATGACTGTCATGCCCTTCAAGAAGACCTGGACAAAATAAGTATATGGAGCACCACTTGGCAAATGGAATTTAATGTTAATAAATGTCATGTTATGGAATGTGGAATAGGAGAACATAGACCCCACACAACCTATATATTATGTGAGAAATCTTTAAAGAATTCTGATAAAGAAAGAGATCTAGGAGTGGTTCTAGATAGAAAACTATCACCTGAGGACCACATAAAGAATATTGTGCAAGGAGCCTATGCTATGCTTTCTAACTTCAGAATTGCATTTAAATACATGGATGGCGATATACTAAAGAAATTGTTCATGACTTTTGTTAGGCCAAAGCTAGAATATGCAGCTGTTGTGTGGTGCCCATATCTTAAGAAGCACATCAACAAACTGGAAAAGGTGCAAAGACATGCTACTAAGTGGCTCCCAGAACTGAAGGGCAAGAGCTACGAGGAGAGGTTAGAAGCATTAAATATGCCAAAACTAGAAGACAGAAGAAAAAGAGGTGATATGATCACTACATACAAAATAGTTACAGGAATTGATAAAATCGACAGGGAAGACTTCCTGAGACCTGGAATTTCAAGAACAAGAGGTCATAGATTTAAACTAGCTAAACACAGATGCCGAAGAAATATAAGAAAATTCACCTTCGCAAATAGAGTGGTAGACGGTTGGAACAAGTTAAGTGAGAAGGTGGTGGAGGCCAAGACCGTCAGTAGTTTCAAAGCGTTATATGACAAAGAGTGCTGGGAAGACGGGACACCACGAGCGTAGCTCTCATCCTGTAACTACACTTAGGTAATTACACTTAGGTAATTACACACCCCACACACACCCTGCATCACTGACACACCCCACACACACCCTGCATCACTGACACACCCCACACACACCCTGCATCACTGACACACCCCACACACACCCCCTGCATCACTGACACACCCCACACACACACCCTGCATCACTGACACACCCCACACACACACCCTGCATCACTGACACACCCCACACACACACCCTGCATCACTGACACACCCCACACACACACCCTGCATCACTGACACACCCCACACACACACCCTGCATCACTGACACCCCACACACACACCCTGCATCACTGACACCCCACACACACACCCTGCATCACTGACACACCCCACACACACACCCTGCATCACTGACACCCCACACACCCTGCATCACTGACACACCCCACACACACCATGCATCACTGACACACCCCACACACACCCTGCATCACTGACACACCACACACACACTCTGCATCACTGACACACCCCACACACACACCCTGCATCACTGACACACCCCACACACACCCTGCATCACTGACACCCCACACACACACCCTGCATCACTGATACACCACACACACACCTTGCATCACTGACACACCCCACACACACCCTGCATCACTGACACACCACACACCCTGCATCACTGACACCCCACACACACCCTGCATCACTGATACACCACACACACACCTTGCATCACTGACACACCCCACACACACCCTGCATCACTGACACACCACACACCCTGCATCACTGACACCCCACACACACACCCTGCATCACTGACACCCCACACACACACCCTGCATCACTGATACACCACACACACACCTTGCATCACTGACACACCCCACACACACCCTGCATCACTGACACACCACACACCCTGCATCACTGACACCCCACACACACACCCTGCATCACTGACACCCCACACACACACCCTGCATCACTGACACACCACACACCCTGCATCACTGACACCCCACACACACACTCTGCATCACTGACACCCCACACACACACACCCTGCATCACTGATACACCACACACACACCTTGCATCACTGACACACCCCACACACACCCTGCATCACTGACACACCACACACCCTGCATTACTGACACCCCACACACACACCCTGCATCACTGACACACCACACACCCTGCATCACTGACACCCCACACACACACACACCCTGCATCACTGACACACCACACACCCTGCATCACTGACACCCCACACACACCCTGCATCACTGACACCCTACACACACCCTGCATCACTGACACCCCACACGGGACCAAAGGGCCAGAGCTCAACCCCTGCAAGCACAACTAGGTGAGTACAGACCCTGGCGAGAGAGAGGTGAGGACTAAAGAGCCAGAGCTCAACCCCCGCAAGCACAACTAGGTGAGTACATCTAGGTGAGTATAAACCCTACATCAGACACTCTCACATCTACCATAGAACTGAGGGCTATGTCACTGGCGGACTGTGAACTACCTGCCCTCTCCTCGCAAACAAGTAGGGGAGGTGGGGCAAATGAGATGGCCCTTGTTTTGAAACTTTTTGATCAATTGTTAACATTGTTGGAGTTCTTTTGGCAGTTCATGAGGCCACAATCTCTTCTTTAAATAGCTACCCATTTGTTTTGGCTCGCTGACTTCCTGGATGCCTTGAGGGAGGGGGGGGGGGGGGATGCAGGCTCTGGCTATTGGTTCCCGGTAGGCCAGACAGAACTCTGAGGCTGATGCGACCCAGTAGTTAATTCACTATCTGTGATAGTAGCTTTCAGTGAGCCGCCAGCGTGTCACCCAGAAATTGGAATTTCATTACTTTCACTCTCCAGGTATACTAGTGTTTTCCTTTTTTTTCCAGGTTTGCTTATGACGAAGAAGTATTTCCAGATTACTCTTGGCGAGGATATGCTGTGTTTTCAGATATCCAAAAAGAAATTATCCAGGAAATATATATTGAAAAACCATCTATATATCGTATGGTGATGTTTTACCATAATCCAAGTTACAAAACAATTGTTGGAAAGATAAAAATTACGCCTGACAACCCGAGTGATACCGAACAGGTATGAATCTTCCCAAAGTTTTTTGTTGAAGAATAATATATCAGAGGCTTGTTGAGAAGGAATATTTTATAAAAAAATATTTATTTCTAATTGAAATTGAAAATGTCAAAACTTCTATATATATTTTTATTTTAAGTATATTTTTTAATTCATATATAAAGGAAACCATCAATGCATCTATTTCTTGCTTTATTGCTTTTTTAATTTTAATTTCTAAATTTTTGGAATATATACTGTAGTAAAATCTTTTATTTGTAATCACTTATACACTATTTCTGTGGAGAGCCCCTTCGGTTTCCCGGAGCTTACTGGGCTGATATGTATGTACTGTATTAGACAGTGGTATCAGTCAATTCGACTGGAGTTCTTGCCTATCAGGGACCACGAGCCAGAACCTGGCCCCCTAAGAGTGGTACGAGGAGCCAATAGAAACCTCCATGTGGTTGGAAGCATTCCATGTCTGCCATCGACTGGGTTAGGCACCTAGAAAGGTAGGCGTCCCAAAACAAACTCCACCTGCATCAAAATTGCTACCGAAAGCTGAACTATCAAGCAGAACTCCCCCAATCCGAAAACAAGTAAACAAGCATGAAACAAGCCACAACTGCTGCTGTGCTGCTCCCCGCTCCCCAGGAGGGGGAAGGTGGGGGGTCAAAGACCTTCCGTGCCAGCTATACAACCCCAGTTCAGAGGCTGTTGTGTTTGGTGGTGGTTAATCGACTCTGACTCCATCCTTTTTGAGAAGTGCTGTCCATAGCATTGTTCTTTTGTGTGGTGGTGTGTAAGCCAGGAGTAACACAAGAGTACTCAGGCTGCATGCACCTAGGACCATGTTTTCTAGGTGCTCTGTAAGTGCTGCCCCCTGTGGTTTAGAGTTATCTTCCTTGAACCATTCAGAAGACTACCTCAGTGTGGTTCTTTTGCTGCTCAGTAAATGCTCACCCTTGGGGTCAACTGGAGTTGTTCATATTCCTGTTTGACTTTGGGTAGGAGATAGTATCGTTGCTGGCTGGGGTGTAAGGTATTGTGCAGGTGTTTGATATATGTGTACCGACCGGTTTTGTTTCCCTGGAGACGCGCTTTTGCAGGGTTTTTCTTTTTCTTTTGCCTGGTGGGGGTCTGCCTGGTATGGCTGTAGGACCACTTATATGATTTTGGTGTCCCTCCGCTAGGTCCTTGTGATTGCACATGTTGCAGGTTGGGTTCAACTTTTAATTTGTTTGCTTGGTACCTCTGGGATAACCGGTTAGCAGTACCATGCCTGGGCTTCCCTTAGCAGTCATCCTCAGGGCCCTGGGAACCCCCACTGGGACTCACTGGTTCGATGGAGGAGACTGCTTAGTCCCACCTCGCTTCATGCAAGTTTGAAGGTCGCTCTGTCCCCTTGTCTCAGGGTGACATTCACTGTCTTTGCCTCCACCGTGCTGCCTGTTAGGTCGATGACACCTTTGAACCAGAGTCTTGCGAGTGGTGTTCCTTGCCTGTACTCCAGTTCACCCAGTCTGATAATGCTGTTAATTGAGTGCAGACAGCATCTGCATTGCATGTGCAGTTTAGGTTGCTGCAATGCGCTAGGTTAATTGCCTTTCCAGATGCCCCGAGGCTGCCCTGCCTTGGTTATAAAGACCCAGACTTGGGGGTGTTTGTCGTTTCGACTCTGGTTTTATCTGCGCCCCTTTGTCCTTTTCCTTCTGTGGTTCATCCTGCTTCTTCCCCCCTCCCTTGCTCCCGGCTCCCAAACATCTGAGGATTTCGGAGTTGGGGCAGGGTTTTCTTGGTGGTGAGACTAGGGTATTTTCAGGGACTGTCCCTTCCAGATCAGCAGGGGGAGGCATTTGAGCTTGTCTCTCATGCTGGCACTTTTGGGTCGCGCCTGTGGTCCCCCTTCATCCCTGCTTTTCCGGTGGACTTTGCTTTTTCTCCAGAGGCAGAGGGGTTTGGATGCCAGCTTGGCTCCGAGTCCTGATGTGGAGGATCCCAAGGCTGGAGAGGAGTTGACTTGGGAGGCTTGGACTCCATTTGGGTGTTGGCACCCTCGGCACGGGGCTTGTTGTTACAGGGGGAGGGGTTTCCTATCCCCCTCCTCCCTGTACGAGTTTGATATGGTTCAAATACTCCCCGAGTTCAGTTCTGGGTTCCCAAGGGTTACGTCTAGTTGCCGGCCTATGTCGAAGTTGTTGGTTCATGGGGAACTGGGGTTAAGGGGCCTCGGTGTCTGGTCAGAGCAGTGATCGCTCTGAGCGTCGGTTGGGCTTCCGTAAGGGTTATCTTGAGGTTATCTTGAGATGATTTCGGGGGTTAGCATCCCCACGGCCCAGTCCTCTACCAGGCCTCCTTTTTGTTACACATCCTCAGGAAGCAGTCTGTAGCAGTTGTCTAACTCCCAGGTATTTACTTACTGCTAGGTGAACAGGTGCATCAGGGTGAAAGAAACTCTGCCAATTTGTTTCTGCCTCTGCTGGGGCTCGAACCCGGAACCTTAGGGCTAGGGCTACGAATCCCGAGCGCTGTCCACTCAGCCGTCTGGCCCGGCCACCTTTCGTGGTTCGCCCTGTTGACGGGGCAATGAGGAAAAGGCTCGTCCTGTTTGGTCTTGCCTGGTCCCATGATTCGTAGGCATTTCTGGCCATTTCCTCTGGCCTGCATACAGGTGGCCTTTCCCTACGCTCTGCAGTGGCATTGGGTGGCTCCTCCTCCTTCAGGGGGATCGGGACTGACGGGGCAGGCCAGTTTCCCTACGCTCTGTTGGGTCATCCTGGAGTGGGTTCACTTGTGCGTGGCTGAAATGACAGTGTCCCTCAGGTTGGTTTCCTTCCTGTTTCCAGTTATGAAACGGAACTGTGTGGACCTCCAGTTCATTCTGACTTTTCCCATCTGAACCCCTGGATCTTTTGCTCTTCATTTCAGATGACCACTCTCTCCCAGGTCCTGCTGCTTTTGGAGCCAGGAGCTTGGATGGTGTCCCTGGACCTCCAGGACGCGTATTGGCATGTCTCGATTCATCCGGGGTTCAGGGACTGACTCGGTTTTGGGCGATAGCCCAACAACAAAACCACTTTTGTTGCCTTCCATTCGGCTTGAATCTGGCTTTCATTGTGTTCCATTCGGCTTGAATCTGGCACCTCATGTGATTACATGTCTTACCCAGGTCATGGTGACCCGTTTGCCTCTGTTAGGGGTTCGGGTTCTGGCATACTTCGACGACTGGCTGGCCTGGGCTCCCAGTAAATCCCTGTGTCTGCTTGCCAGGGATTTGGTTCTTTTCCAGCTTGCCGGGTTCGGGTTCTTGGTGAACTGGAGGAAGTCCCATTTGGTTCCCTCTCAGGTTTGGACTTGGCTGGGCTTTATATGGGATTCTCAGACCGCCCTTCCTTGCCCCTCCCTCCTGCAGAGTTACTGCGGCTGCAGTCTCGCCTTCGGCTGTTTTTTGAGGGCTTCCAGGTCACGAGTCAGTTGTTCGAGCAGCTGTGCAGGAGTCTGAACTTCAGCGTGCTGGTCTACCCGTTGGGTTGGATCTGGCTTTGGCGGCTGTTCTGGTTCCATCCGGGACATCCTTTCTGCCGTTCTTGCGATCACTGAGTTCAGACCCCGGGGGCATTGCATCAGCTTCCTCTTCTGGTTTTTCAGGATTCAGTGCCGTGGCACCTACCCGAGTTCTCGCTCGATGTGTTTACGTATACCTCATCTCTCGGCTGGGGCCTAAATATATTCTCCTCTTCTCCTTCAAACATTTGTGTGGGTGATGGGATATCATCCAACCTTTTGAGTGTGAACACTGATATAAAATAATTATTCAGTGTTTGCTGCCCTTTTATCATCCATTATAGCTTGGTTAGTCTCATCTATTAAGGGTCCAACTGAGTCCTTTGTTTTGGTTTTACCTCTTATATAAGCATAGAACAATTTTGGATCTTTTTTTTATGTCTTGGGCAAATTTTCTTTCGTAGTTTCGTTTGGCTGATCTGATTTTGGAAGTTGTTGAGTTTAGTGCCTTTTTGTATAATTAATAATCAATGACGTCCATCGTGGATTTATACATTCTCCAAAGTTTCTTCTTGGTTACCAATGCTTGTATTATGACTTGTGTCATCTATCTAATTCCCCTTTCATGTCTTTCTTCTTTATAACACATTTTTGAACAAATTCTGTGATGACTCTTGAAATTTTGCCATGATGCTTCTGTGCCATGTTTGCCCATCTGCTCCCTCCAGGAGATGGTTTGCAGTTCCTCTCTTATTCCTTGATAGTCATCTTGCTGGTAATCTAGAAATTCATCATCATTAACCTTTATGTGGGTTTCTATATTTGTTGTCCATCTTAAAATATGGTGGATACACAAGGTTGGTTAGCTTTTCCCTCCACAAGAATTTTATCAATCATACCCTCTTCTGTTGTTAGCACACGATCTAGTATGATGTTACCACATGTGGTCTACCACATACTGTATGAGGGAAAGAGTCCTGCACAAGATCAAGAACTGTTCACCTTCTGCTTGAGATGTTAGGTTGATCCAATCTATCTTGTGGTTATAGTCCCCCATTATTTAATGCTAGATATCGTGGTAGGCCCTCTCAGTAGCTCCCCAGTGCTCTCAATGAGGCCTTGGCAGCGGAGGTCATCAAACCTGAAAAAAGTAGAGAACATATTACAGAAAGGCACCCAGGACTTACTTGCAGAGAGAGAGAGAGAGAGAGAGAGAGAGAGAGAGAGAGAGAGAGAGAGAGAGAGAGAGAGAGAGAGAGAGAGAGAGAGAGAGAGAGAGAGAGAGAGAGAGAGAGAGAGAGAGAGAGAGAGAGAGAGAGAGAGAGAGAGTGAGAGAGAGAGAGAGAGAGAGAGAGAGAGAGAGAGAGAGAGAGAGAGAGAGAGAGAGAGAGAGAGAGAGAGTGAGAGAGAGAGAGAGAGAGAGAGAGAGTGAGAGAGAGAGAGTGAGAGAGAGAGAGAGAGAGAGAGAGAGAGAGAGAGAGAGAGAGAGAGAGAGAGAGAGTGAGAGAGAGAGTGAG